CTCTGCCTCCCGGGTTCAAGTGATTCTCCTGCCTCAGCCTCCTGAGTAGCTGGGACTATAGATATGTACTACCATGCCTGGCAAATTTTTGTATTTTTAGTAGAGACAGGGTTTCACTGTGTTGGCCAGTCTAGTCTTGAACTCCTGACCTCGTGATCTACCCACCTTGGCCTCCCAAAGTGTTCAGATTACAGGCGTGAGCCACTGTGGCCAGCCCTGAGCTAATATTTTTAAGGCTGCGTGCCAGCCTCCCTGCCCTTCCTCTTGAACCACTCTGCATACTTTTTATGCTCAAGCAGCGTCCACAGCTTCAGAATTATTTTTCCCTTACTCTTACCCCATTGAAATCTGGAGGGCTTTCTTGGCTGGCTTTCCACCCCCCTACCCCCCACCCCACAATAGTTCAGAAGTCCCTGATTCACAGGGACCCTGTCCAAGAGACCTACGTCTGCCCAGCTCTGCAGAAAGTTGGGGCGTGGTGGGTGGGAGGTGGTGTGGTCAGTGTGGTTCGGTAGGGTTGGGAAGAGCCATGGCAATGGAATGTTGGGAGCTGGTTCCCATGGGGAGGAGTCGCAGGGCTGGTGGCTGAGCCTGAGCACGCGGGCACTGGGCCCTGCTCCAAGGCCACTCTGTAAGTGCTGTGACCTCCCGAGCTGGCATTGTGTGCTGCCAGCCCCCCGCTGGTGTCCCCTCCCTGTCCCCTGCCGCTTTTCTCTTGGGAACCTCCTGATCCGCTGAGCTTGGAGAAATGATGATTTAGAAAATTCGTATAGATTCAAGCCAAGAATCAGTGTGGTCTCAATGCAGACGTCACCCCCTGCTTTCTTTAGCCCCTGTGGAATGCCCCCACCTCTCATCATGTGAATTTCCTTCTGAGCCTTTGTCACTGGTGTCTTTGTCTCACATGCTGATTTCTTTGCTCCCCACTGGAATGTCAGCTCTATGAAGGCAGGGACCTTTGTCTGTTGCTCTTGATGTATCCCAGTGTCTTGAGCAGGGCCCTGTGCATGATACTTGCTCAGTAAACATTGGTGGAATGAATGAATCTGAGTCTAAGGGGATCTCTTAGATTGAACAGCTCCCACCCTTCCAGGGGCCTTTCAGAGTTAATGGAAAGAGGGAGCAAAATCCCCTCCCATGGACTCCTGCTACCCACTGCCCTTTTTTTTTAAATTTTTTAGTTGACTCTCTGTCACCCAGGCTGGTGTGCGGTGATGCGATCTTCGTTCATTGCAACCTCCACTTACCAGATTCAAGTGATTCTCCTGCCTCAGCCTCTCGAGTAGCTGGGACTGTAGGCAAGTGCCACCATGCCTGGCTAATTTTGTGTGTGTGTGTGTGTATTTTTAGTACAGATGGGGTTTCACCATGTTGGCTAGCATGGTCTTGATCTCCTGACCTGGTGATCTGCCCACCTTGGCCTTCCAAGTGCTGGGATTACAGGCATGAGCCACTGCACCCGACGAAATGAAACCCCACTGTTTCCAATGACCAGCTGATTCTGGCTTAATCTGATTTTTTTTTTTTTTTTTTGAGACACAGTCTTGCTCTGTCACCAGGCTTGAGTGCAGTAGTGCGATCTAAGCTCACTGCAACCTCTGCCTCCCAGATTCAACTGATTCCCCTGTCTCATCCTCCTGAATAGCTGGGATTATAGGCGTGCACCACCATGCCCGGCTAATTTTTTGTATTTTAGTAGAAACGGAGTTTCACTATGTTGGCCAGGATGGTCTCGATCTCCTGACCTCATGATCTGCCTGCCTCGGCCTCCCAAAGTGCTGGGTTTATAGGCGTGAGCCACTGCGCCTGGCTGCTGCCCCTGTTTTGTAAGCCACATGACACCACGCCAGGGATGGCGCCTTGGAGACAGAGCCGCAGTTGGAAACTGTCCTTTCCTCTTACTAGTTGTGTGGCTTCTGCCAATCACTCCATCTCTTGGAGCTTCAATTTCTTCACTTCTCAGATGGGGGTAAAAATCTCCACCATACAAGGTTTTGCTGTAAACAAGAGCCAGCATGCAAGTAGCACTTGCTGTGGGCCAGGTGCTATTCTAACATGCTCGCATTTATTTATACCTCCTAGCATTCCCACAAGACTAGTTTCTCATTTGCGCTGGGCACATTTCAAAGTGCCCTTCTAGGAGGTGTTACAGGTAGCGTATCCCTTTATCTGAAATGCTTGGGACCAGAAAGGTTTTGGATTTCAGATTTTTTTCTTCTTCTGAGGCAGCATCTCCCTCTGACACCCAGGCTGGAGTGCAGTGGCATGATCATGGCTCACTTTAGCCTTAACCTCCGGGGTTCAAGTGATTCTCCTGCCTCAGTGTCTCAATTAGCTGAGACTATTGGGCAAGCACCACCACACCTGGCTAATTAAAAAAAAAAAAAAGTAGAAACAGGGTCTCCCTATGTTGCCCAGGCTGGTCTTGAACTCCTGGGCTCAAGTGATCCTCCTGCCTCAGCCCTCAAAGTGCTGGGATTACAGGCCTGAGCTACCACACCTGACTTAGATTTTTTTTTTTCTGAGTTTGGAATATTTGCATCATACTGATCAGTTCAGCATCCCTAATCCAAAATGCTCTGATGTCCGTCCTTCCTTCCTCCCCTCCCCTCCCCTCTCCTCCTCTCCCCTCCCCTCCCTTAGGTGTGTGCAGTGGCCCACACCTAAAATCCTGGCACTTTGGGAGGCACAGGCAAGAGGATTGTGTGAGTCCAGGAATCCCATAGGGGGACTCCATCTTTACAAAAAAATACAAATATTAGCCAGGCATGGTAGCACGCAGGTATCCAGGTAGTCCTGGATACTTGGGTGGCTCAGATGGGAGGATCACTTGAGCCCAAGGAAGTCAAGGCTGCAGTGACCCAAGATCATATCACTGCATTTTAGCCTGGACTGGACACCAAAAAAAAAAAACAGAAAAGAAAGGAGAGCTCTGGCCCAGCACGGTGGGTCACACCTGTAATTCCAGCACTTTGGGAGGCCAAGGCAGGTAGATCATGAGGTCAGGAGTTCAAGACCATCCTGGCCAGCATGGTGAAACCCTCTGTCTTTACTAAAAATACAAAAATTAGCCGGGCATGGTAGCGCGTGCCTGTAATCCCAGCTACTCAGGAGGCTGAGGCAGGAGAATTGCTTGAACCCAGGAGGCGGAGGTTGCGGTGAGCCGAGATCGCGCCATTGTACTCCAGCCTGGGTGATGGGGCAAGCACCCCTCCCTCTCATTTGTCCTCTAATCAGTACTGCCCAGCAGAACACTCTACAGCGATGGGAATGTTCTAGTGCAAAGATCAGCAAATTTCTAGAAATGTCCCAGATAGTAAATGTTTCCAACTTTGTGGTGTTCATGTGGTTTTTGTTGCCACTGCTGCTCCCCCTGCCTCTCCTCTTCCTCCTTCCTTCACCCTTTACCTTCCCTTGATAAAATTTACAAATCATTCGTAGTTCAAGGGCCCTTTGAAAATAGGCCCTGGGTTGGATTGGGCCCAAGGACCATAGTTTGCCCACCCCATTCTGGATGTACATTGTCCGATACAGTAGGCACTGGTCACATGTGGCTTCTGGGCACTTGTGACTAGTGCAGATGAGAAGCTGGACTTTTAATTTTATTTAATGTTGCATAAAGTGAGTTTAAATAGCTACGTGTGGCTGACGGCTGCATGTTGGACGCACAGCTCCAGTGATTGGCAGCCCTGACAGCGCCGTCCCATTGCTCTGAAAGGGCCTGGGTGCCCTGGAGGGGAGTGGCTGGGGTCATGGGCCGTGGGAGCTGCCTGGCTGCCAGGGCTCTCGGGATCGCTGGCATTTCAAGAGCTGCCTGAGGGCAGCTGGGTGAGCTGTCCTGCCCCTGGAATAGCTTCAAGTGCCTGCTTCGTAACGGGTTTTATTTGTACCAAGAGAGCAGGTCTCACTTCATTGGCCGCCCGAGTCCCAGGAGTGCCGAAGCTTGCGTATCTGTAGTTTGGGAGTGGCCTGCTGGTCGCTGTGGTTACGCCTTGGTACCTTTCTTCCTCTGGGTTTAGATGTCCTAATTGGCCTGGTATTTCAGAAATAGGAAAATGGTATGGAGACAAAGGAATGAGTGAATAGGAAGGAATGGAGGACCAAGAAATGCAGGCAGCAGCCTGCAGCCTGCTTATTGCCTTCATGGCACAAATAAGAAAAGCTGAGATTTTTTTCTTTTTCTTTTTCTGAGACACGGTCTTGCTCTTTTGCCCAGACTGTAGTGCAGGGGCACATTCACAGCTCGCTGCAGCCTCGATCTCCTGGGCGTCAGCGATCCTCCCACCCCAGCCTCCCAAGTAGCTGGGACTACAGGCGTGTACCATCACCTGGATAAGTTTTTATTTTTATAGAGACAGGGTCTCTCCATGTTGCCCAGGCTGGTCTCAAACTTCTGGGCTCAAGTGACCCTGCTGCCTCTGCCTCCCAAAGTGCTGGGATCACAGGTGTGAGCCACCATGCCAGGCCTGGCTGAGATTTAAAAAGCTGAGAGTTTAAAGTGTTGTTACCCTGCTTAAAACCTCCTGTTTACAGAATAGAAAAAGTCTCAGAGGAGCAGTGTATATAGTCAAGGAGTTGGCCAACTCCAGAGCTGCATTCTAAACCCCCACCTCCTGAAACAGGACTGAGAGGAGGGAGGCTTAGTTTCAGACTCAGTGTGTGACTCTGTGAAATGATTTCTCCTTGTGGGCCTCAGTTGTCTCATCTGTAAAATGGGAGAAGATAGGAATTGGCAGTAGTGCCTTAGCTCAGACTCAGCTCACACCTCTCTGCCTGAGAAGTGAGCCAGTTCATTCCCTGTAGGAGCAGGTAAGTTGAGATTCCCACTGTGGTATTTTGAGCCAAAGTGGCCTCCCCTGTATTCCAGAGTCCTTCTCCCAAATGTCACTGTCAGGTGCTCTTGGGAGCCTGAAACCTCACTCTGCCTCTTTGAAGGGGCCAGGCACTTGGCCTCTCTCCATGGTGCCCGTCCTGATGCAGTATCTCCTTTGCCTCTCTAGGGCTCTGCCAGGAGACAGCCTTGGCACACAGGCACAAGGGCTGGAGCCCAGAGATGAGAGTGCCCAGAGGAGGTAAGTGCACCCAGAAGGAACTTCCCCTGGAGTCCTGGCTTCTCCCGAGACAGCCTTCAAAAGTCCCCTCCATGCCCCCAGCCTCCATGATTGGGCCCCTGGGCAAACTCCCCTGGCTGGTTTTCACCTTTCTATTCAGCCACAAGGTTGGAAATCTGGTACTAGAAAAAGCTACATCTGCTGGGGCCATGGTGGCTCACGCCTGTAATCCCAGCACTTTGGGAGGCCGAGGTGGGTGGATCACCTGAGTTCAGAAGTTTGAGACCAGCCTGGCCAACGTGGAGAAACCCCGTCTCTACTGAAAATACAAAATTAGCCCACCGTGGTGGTTCACACCTGTGATCCCAGCTACTTGGGAGGCTGAGGCAGGAGAATCACTTGAACCCAGGAGGTGGAGGTTGCAGTGAGCCGAGATCGTGCCACTGCATTTCAGCCTGGGCAACAAGAGCGAAACTCGATCTCAAAAAGGAATACAAAAAGCTGCACCCCAACAAGCACCATAGAGAGACGAGCATCTTCCTTATCTCTTAGGAAGACAATCCTCCAGGTGATAGGAGAAAGAAGGCTGAGGACCACGGTGGGCAGGGGACTTGCCCAGTATCACGGAGCAGATTCAAGGCACTACCAGAACCCAAACCCTCTCGTGTCCCGTTCTGCTGATGTTAGTGTTTTGGGTGTGTTTTCTCAGCACCCCACAAGACTTTCTTGGCCCTCCGAATAGCTTCCATGAGAGAAGGGTATTATCCCGTTTTTGGAGAAGACAGTAGAAGCCCAGCAAAGTGATATCTTTTTGTCCAGATCACCAGCTGGCAAGTGGCAGAAGGGAGATTTGAACCTGGGAGTGTGGTACTCCAAGTTGGAAGCCCTTACCCATCATCCTCACTGTGAAGATGCCAGGGTATCTCCCTTGCCAGGGTCCAGCAGGGTGATGAGGGTGCTGGGCAGGCCTAGGTCCCTGGGCTGGGCCCTCTAGCTCCTCCCACAGTGGGGTCCCTAGCTCTGGGTAACCAGGACGCTACTTTCTGCTTTGTGGGTTCCGGGCTGCCTTCTGTGTCCCAAGTCACCCTGCTTTTTCTTCTTAAGCCATCCTGCAGGTCTTTGCCATCTTCTTACTTCTGACTTGTCGGCTTTGAGCTGTTTTCTTCAGGCGAACAGCTCAGCCTTGGCCTGGTCTGATCGAGGCCTGCCACTCTGGCTGTGCGACCTTGGGTAAGCTGCTTCATCTCTTTGAGCTTAGCTATTGCAGGGAAAATGCTTTCGCAGAGTTTATCCTCCATACATGCAAACACCTTTGCTGAACTTAAAATGCTGAGGCCGGCTGGGCACGGTGGCTAACGCCTATAATCCCTGCATTTTGGGAGGACGAAGTGGGTGGATTACCTGAGGTCAGGAGTTTGAGACCAGCCTGGCTAACGTGGTGAGACCCCGCCTCTACTAAAAATACAGTAATTACCCAGGCATGGTGGTGCACACCTGTAATCCCAGCTACTTGGGAGACTGAGGCAGGAGAATCGCTTGAACCTGGGAGGTGGAGGTGGCATTGAGCCAAGATCACACCACTGCACCCCAGCCTGGGTGACAGAGCAAGACTTGGTCTCAAAAAAAAAAAAAAAAAAAAAAAAGGGAAAAATGCTGAAACCAAATGAATGATTACTATATAGTATGAAGCAAACTGGAGAGCTGATACATTTTTCCTTATTTTATCTATTTCTGCTTCCAGGCTTTTTCCCTTGGTACCAAACCCAGCATAGGCTGGAGAGTACACACAGATATACATACATACATACACAGTGGCATGCACACTGGACACAGTTTTTCTGGAAGCCACTTTCAGTTTCCAAATTATTTCCCTTTCTCTGTATCCCCATTTTCATGGGTTCACCCAAAAGGGTGATTAATCTAATTTAAGCTAAGGTGTGATTGACAGCTCCCCCCCAAGGTGGGGACGCTATCCCTGAAATCCTAATCACCGACAGAATTCTAGTCACGGATCTAAAGGGAGACTTTCACTGAGCATCTGAAGAACATGACAGGTCATTGCAGGGATTTCTGAATGGCTTCATGTCCTCTTCAGCCTGCCTCCCCCAGGAAGTAGCTCTGAATTAGCTTTCCCCATCACAGACCTTGAATGGAGGGTACAGTGAAGCCCCAGCCTCTTCAGCGGAACTTCATCAGTTTTTCTGAAGAGAGGGAAATTACCCAATGCTCAGAGAGGCCGGTGACCCCAGCCTGAGATCCATCTCTGCTTTGTCAGCTGCTTCTCACAGCCTCACAGCAGCCTCTGAGGTCAGTGGATCTGCCCCAATTTTGCAGCTGAAGAAACTGTGGTTAAGATGGGGGAAGTGACTCTCCCAAAGTGACACTGCCAGGAAGTCCTAGTCTCTTAGCAGTTTCCACCCCAGGCCTGAGACCGTGTGCCCTCTGCTTTGATGTTTATTTTCCACTTGCTACAGCCTAAGAGGGCCCAGGCAGCCCAAGCCCTTGCGAGTGGATAGGCCCAGCTGCACATGGGGCCCTCAGATGGTTTTGGGTGGAAACTCACATCCAAAGAACCATGCTATCTCCCCACCGGTGTCCACCAGACCCTCCGTTTGCTAAGCTGCTTGCAGTGGCCCGACCGTGCTGCATTCTTTCCTGCCTCTGGCTCTGCACTGGCCATTCCCTTTGCTGGGAACATGCTTCTTACTATTCTCCACCTGCCTGTTTTCTACCCACTGCTCAGAATTCTGTGTGAAGGCTGCCTCCTGTAGGAGGCCTTCCCTCACCTGTGTGGGTACAACCCATCAGTCTCTCTCAGGCACAGGTCCATAGTAAGGGTGGACTTGGGAGGCTGAGGCTCCCAACACATAGTAGGTGCTCATTAAATGTTGAAATAAATCAGCACTGATTGTGGTAGAAATCACTGATGTTCTTGGGCCAGATGGGGTAGCTCATGCCTGTAATCCCATCATTTTGGGAGGCCGAGGCAGGAGGATCACCTGAGGCCAGGAGTTTGAGACCAGCCTGGGTGACAGAGTGAGACCCTGAATCTCCAGAAAAAAGAAATTGCTACTATTCTTTCCGCTGCTTCCTATGTGCTGAGTACCTCCTTAAATATTTTCCATCGAGAGGGTCGCTTACTACTCATGACAGCCCTTTGAGGTTGACACTCTTAGGCCCATTTTACAGATGAGGCTCAGACGAGTCCCTTGCCCAGGCTCATTCAGCCAGGAAGCGGCAGAGCTGGGATTTGAACCCCGGCCTATCTGACTCCTTGAATGCCCAGAGGCTTCAGCCCTCACCTTGCTTCTGGAAAGGGGTAGGAGGGGCAGTCAGGGAAACTGAGCCTCAGAAACACAGCAAAGGTGAAGCAGGGAATGGCTGGGGCTGTCTGAGATTGGTTGAGGTTCCCTCCAGGGCCGAAGTCTGCACTGTCTGCATTGGGCTCAAGTTGCAAAATCAGGGGGCTCTGGGGATGAACTGGGAAGGAAGGCAGATCTGTTATTGAGTGAAGTGACAGAGGGAGTGGCCTTGCTTTTTAAATGAGCCTGAAAAACTGCCACTGAAGTCTGATCTTTATCAGCAGCTCCTGGGAGGGGTAAGGAGCCCAAGCTCAGGGGCATCATTCATGTCCTAAGTGGTCCATTCCCTTCCTCCCCCACTCATCCTTAAAGGTCCAGCATTTCTGAGCCTACCCAGGACACGGGCAGGAGACTGCTGCCTGGCCTCCTGATGTCCATCATCACCCCTCAGGGGCTGTCTGCAGAGTGAGTCCAGCTCATTCCCCTGTTCCTGAGGACCTGCCTGGCCTCACCACATCTTTTTCACTCCCCCTCAAGCCCCAGCAGCCTCCTCTCCGTTTCTTGTCCTTTTTATCTGTTTGAGACAGGGTCTTACCCTGCTGCATAGGTTGGCGTGCAGTGGCCCAGTCACAGCTCACAGCAGTGTTGACTTCTCAGGCTCAAGTGATCCTCTCATCTCAGCCTCTCGAGTAGCCAGTACCGCAGGCAGGCACCACCACGTCCATAGAAATAAGTCTCACTGAATTGCCCAGGCTGGTCTCAAACTTCTGGTCTCAAGTGATTTCCTGCCTTGGCCTCCCAAAATGCTGAGATTACAGGTGTGAGCCGCCACTCTCAGCCTCAAGTTCTTGAAGACCCCACATCCTTTCTCATCTGGGGGGGTCTTTGCACTCTGTGTTCTCTCTGCTTAAAACATGCTCTCCACATGGCTTTGCATGGCGAGCTCCTTCTCATCTTGGTCGTGGCTTGGATACCACCTCCTTCAGGAAGCCCTTCCTGACTACTCTTCTCCTTCCTTCCTTGGTCCCTCTCACAGTGTCCTGCTCATTTCTTTGAGACAGTTATCATGGTGTATCCATACCTTGTGTATTATCTGCTTCTCCTGCTAGGACCTAAGCTCCGTGAGTTCAGAGTCCTGGCTATCTTGTCCGTTGTCCTGTTTTCAGCACCAAACACAGTGCCTGGCACTTGAGTGAATGAAGAACAAATGATAGAATGATGATCCTGGAAGAAGTCTAGACCAGGACATGCTCAGCCTTCTGAAACATGTTTTCCAATGAGGCAGAGTGGTGATTTAGAGCAGAGCCGGCTGGCCTGGGTTTGAACTGTGGACCCTGGCTTGGCTGCTTCTCAGCTGGGCACGCAAGCAACTTTCCTGTGCCTTAGTTTCCTCTTTTCTCTACAATGATGATTTCATAGCACTTAACCTGTGCCAGGCGCTGCTCATTTAACCAAGGCGCATTCCAGAAATATTTATTGAGCAGCTATTAGGTGTCAGGCGCTGGGCCAAGAGCTGAGGGGTGCAGCAGTGAACAAAATGGGCAAATTTTGTTCGTGGCGCAGACATGCTGGAATCTAGCAGTGTATATTTTGATAGCAAACTTTATAATGGGCAAATTTTGCTCGTGGCGCAGACATGCCGGAATCTAGCAGTGTATATTTTGTTAGTAAACTTTATAATGTGATTACTGTCTCCATAGATCAGATGAGACAGCCGAGGCATCAAGGGATTAAAGGACCTACCAAGGTCCCACAGCTAAGAAGTAGGGAGAAGGATTTGAACTCAGGCCATCAGGTTGTCACCTCCCTTGGGCTGATAACAATTCCTCCCTTCCTAAGGTGGTTGGAGGGTCCCATGAGTTAAGATGGGTAAAGTGGCTGGGCACTGTGGCTCATGCCTGTAATCCCAGCACTTTGGAAGGTTGAGGCAGGAGGACTGATTGAAGTGAGACCCTGTTTTTAAATATTAGCCGGGTGTGGTGGTATGTGCCTGTAGTCCCAGGTACTTGGGAGGCTGAGGCAGAGGACTGCTTGAGCCCAGGAGTCTGAGGCTGCAGCGAGCTATGATCTCACCACTCACTGCACTCCAGCATTTTTTTTTTTTTTTTTTTGAGACAGAGTTTCAGTCTGTTGCCCAGGCTGGAGTGCAGTGACACGATCTCAGCAACCTCTGCCTCTGGGTTCAAGTGATTCTCCTGCCTCAGCCTCCTAAGTAGCTGGGATTACAGGCACGCACCACCACTTGGCTAATTTTTGTATTTTCAGTAGAGACGGGGTTTCACCATGTTGGTCAAGCTGGTCTCAAACACTTGACCTTGTGATCCACCTGCCTTGGCCTCCCAAAGTGCTGGGATTACAGGTGTGAGCCACCAGCCTCCCAAAGTGCTGGGATTCTAGGCATGAGCCATAGGTCGGGTCTTTAAAAAAAAAAAGTGTTAAAAAAAAACACTTAAAAAAAAAAGACCCGACCTATGGCTCATGTTTGTAATCCTAGCACTTTGGGAGGCTGAGGTAGGAGGATCACCCAGGCCCAAGTGTTCGAGACCAGCCTGGGCAACATGGCAAAACCCTGTCTCTTTAAAAATAAAAAAAGTACCGAGTAGGATGCCAGGCACACAGCGAGTGCTTATGAAAGGTGCCCTCTGCATTCACGTCAGCAGCCTCTTGTTTGTAGTTATTGAAGAGCTCACCCCTCACAGACCTCCCTGACTGTGCATGTCCCCCTCTCTTCCCAGATGTGAGCCTGGCAGGCTGCCCGCTAACCTGTCGCTGAAGCCCCAGAAACGGGCCCCCAGGCTGGGCCTGCGACGCCCCCGGCCCAGCATGCGCCTGACAGTGCGGAGGGTGCTGCTGGCGGCTGGCTGCACCCTGGCCCTGGTGCTGGCAGTCCAGCTTGGGCAGCAGGTGCTAGAGTGCCAGGCGGTGCTGGCGGGCCTGCGGAGCCCCCGGCGGGCCATGCGGCCGGAGCAGGAGGAGCTGGTGATGGTGGGCACCAACCATGTGGAGTACCGCTACGGCAAGGCCATGCCACTCATCTTCGTGGGCGGCGTGCCCCGCAGTGGCACCACATTGATGCGCGCCATGCTGGATGCCCATCCCGAGGTGCGCTGCGGCGAGGAGACCCGCATCATCCCGCGCGTGCTGGCCATGCGCCAGGCCTGGTCCAAGTCTGGCCGTGAGAAGCTGCGGTTGGACGAGGCGGGGGTGACCGATGAGGTGCTGGACGCCGCCATGCAGGCCTTCATCCTGGAGGTGATCGCCAAGCACGGAGAGCCAGCCCGCGTGCTCTGCAACAAGGACCCATTTACGCTCAAGTCCTCGGTCTACCTGTCACGCCTGTTCCCCAACTCCAAGTTCCTGCTGATGGTGCGGGACGGCCGGGCCTCCGTGCACTCCATGATCACGCGCAAAGTTACCATTGCGGGCTTCGACCTCAGCAGCTACCGTGACTGCCTCACCAAGTGGAACAAGGCCATCGAGGTGATGTACGCCCAGTGCATGGAGGTGGGCAAGGACAAGTGCCTGCCCGTGTACTACGAGCAGCTGGTGCTGCACCCCAAGCGATCCCTCAAGCTCATCCTTGACTTCCTTGGCATCGCCTGGAGCGACGCTGTCCTCCACCATGAAGACCTCATTGGCAAGCCCGGTGGTGTCTCCCTGTCCAAGTGAGTGGAGCCCCTAATGCCTCCACACAGACTCTGGCCCGGAGTCAGAGGCATCAGGCAAGGAAATCAGCACTGCCTCTCCTGAGCTGTGTGGCCTTGGGCAAGTCACTTTATCTCTCTGAGCCTCCATTTCATTATTCCAAAAAATGATAACAACCACTCCTCTCCTTTTTGAGGGAATTTGCAGACTTTCTGGGATTTTGTTTGGATTTTGAGGCAGTGTCTCGGTCCGTTGCCTGGCTGGAGTGCAGTGGCTTGATCACAGCTCACTACAGCCCCCGTCTCCCTGTTCAAGTGATCCTCTTGCCTCATCTTCCTCAGTAGCTGGACTATAGGCATGCGCCACCAAGCCGGGCTAATTTTTGTATTTTTGGTAGAGATGGGAATTTGCCATGTTGCCCAGGCTGGTCTCAAAATCCTGGCCTCAAGCGATCCTTCCACCTCAGCCTCCCAGAGTGCTGGGATTACAGGCGTGAGCCACCGCACCTGGCCTAGAATCTGCAAACTTTGAATATGCTTGGTAATAAGACAATAGTGGGTAAAGGTTAAGAGCACAGATTCCAGAACAAGGATGTCTGGCTTCAAACCTCGGCTTTGCCACCTCCTAGCTGTGTGAACTTGAGCAAGGGACCCAAGCCCTGTGCATCCATGGCTTCATTTATAACCTTACACATAGCTGTGGGCATCAAATAGGTTATTACATGTTAGGTGCTATTACTATTTTAGTGTTGACTCTGCTTTTATTGATGGACTACTCATCATCTTCACCATTGTCATTTGTTGAGTGCCGACTTGGTGGCAAGTATTGGGTTAAGCCCTCAAAAAGTATTATCTCTAATCCTCACAGCGACCTGAGGTGATAGGAGCTCCTCTTATCCCTGTTTTATAGATGAAAAAACTAAATCTCAGAAGTTACTGGCCGCAGGCCACACAGCTAGCAAAGCACGGTGCTGGGATTGGAACTCATGTCTGTTTTGTCTTTCTGAGTCAGGGTCTCACTGGGTTGCCCAGGCTGATCTCAGCTCACTGCAGCCTTGGGTTCAAGTGATTCTCTCACTTTAGTCACCCGAGTAGTTGGGACTACAGGCAGCACCACACCCAGCTTGTTTTGTTTTGTTTTGTTTTGATTTGATTGCTAGTAGAGCTGAGATCTCAGTATGTCTCCCAGGCTGGCCTCCCAACTCCTGAGCTCAAGCGATCCTCCTGCCTTGGCCTCCCAAAATGTTGGGATTACAGGCATGAGCCACTGCACCTGGCCTATTGTGCTCTTAAACTCCCCATGTCCAGAACTCCTTCTTCCATCCTTCCCTTCACTTGCCCTCATTTTTCCCTTCCTCCCTCTGTCACTTGCTCCCTGCCTTCTTCCATTGGAAAAGCTGCTGTCCCTGCCCTGAGACCCAGAGTACTTTGAACAATGCTGGAGCAGAGTATGCAGCCTCCACACTTTCCCATCCTGATCAGGCTTTGGACATCCTGAGAGCCCAGCAAAAGGGTGGTCCTCCCATGGCCGGTCCCTGCTGGCCCCCCGCCAGGCCCTGAGTAGAGCTAGAGGCTTGTAGCTGCCCACCACTGGCAATCAAGTGCTTACATACAGGTACCCTGGCCAGTTGGTGCTGGAGCTAGGATTTTATAAATTATTGTGACAAAAATATTAGACTACCAAAGTAATACATCTTTACTATAGGAAATTAAGAAGAGATACACCAAAGAAGAAAGGAGAAACAACCTATGATCTCACCACCCAGATCTAGATATGTGGCGTATTGCAGTTTTCAGGTCCTATTGATGAAACTGGAGCCCAACGAAACAGACTCCTCTGTAGCCTTTTTCCACTGTGGCATGGGAGCACTCGCCAGTGGCACCCAGCACTCTGCCGCAGCAGCATTTTTTTTGTTTTTTTTTGTTTTGAGACAGAGCCTCTCTTTGTCACCCCAGCTGAAGTATAGTGTCATGATCTTGGCTCACTGCAACCTCTGCCTCCTGGGTTCAAGCAGTTTTCCCTGCCTCAGCCTCCTTAATAGCTGGGATTACAGGCACCTGCCACCATGCCCTGCTAATTTTTATATTTTTAGTAGAGATGAGGTTTCACCATGTTGGCCAGGCTGGTCTCGATCTCCTGATCTCAGGTGATCTGCCTGCCTTGGCCTCCCCCACATGCTGGGATGACAGATGTGAGCCACCACATCTGGTCTGCAGCATCATTTTGAACAGCTGTGCAAGAGGCCACTACACGGATTGCCATCTTTGACTTCACATTCCCCATGTTGGACATGTGGGTTATTTCCAGTTTTTCTGACGTGTATCAAGCATTGCCCTCATTCATGTTCTGGGATGTGTCTGGATCGTTTCTGTGCTATAAAGTCCTAGAGACACAAGGATTTTAGGAAAAACCATGCATATACTCGAGATTTTTGACCTATTGGGTAGAATTAAGATTTAAATCCAGGTTTGCAGCCTCCAAATCTGTGTTCTACCCACTAGTCCACACCCTTTCACCTTCCCTGGTTCTCCTCACCTCACTCCCACTCTTCCTTTTGCTGCCTCTTTCTGTTCTTCTTTTCCTTCTTCTTCTCCTCCTTCTCCTCTTCCTCCTCCTCCTCCTTCCTCTTGCTCTGTTGCCAGGCTGGAGTGCAGTAGCACAATCTCGGCTTGCTGCAACCTCCACCTCCTGGGTTCAAGTGATTCTCCTGCCTCAGCCTCCCGAGTAGCTGGGATTACAGGCACGTGCCACCTTTACCAAGTCTCCTCTTAGTGTGGATGAAAGCATTTAGAACTAGGTCCTTGATCCTGGGGGTTCCCCGTCATTCATCCGATCAGGCCCCTTAGTTATAATTGGTAAGATCTGCACCATTCAGGCGTCTTGGTAAGCCTGTTACAGGGAGTTAGGAAGAGGCTGTTGATGAGAGTTATTCCAAGGTAACAGCAAAAAGTTGGAAACAACCTAAATGTCTGTCTTTAGGGGACCAGAAGAATAAGTTATGGAGGAAGGCTACATTGCTGGCAAAAGGAATGAGGGATTGAGTACGGAAAAAATCTGTACCATATTTGTTTTACAGCTGCAGACGTGTGTGTGTGTTTGTGTGTGTGTGAGAGAGAGAGAGAGAGAGAGAGAGAGTGAGCGCACTAACCCTTATTAAGAATTTTCAATGTGTTGGCCAGGCACAGTGGCTCACGTCTGTAATCCCAGCACTTTGGGAGGCCGAGGCGGGCAAATCACTTGAGGTCAGGAGTTAGAGACCAGCCTGGCCAACATAGTGAAACCCCATATATGATAAAAATATAAAAATTAGCTGGGTATGGTGGTGCATGCCTGTAGTTCCAGCTACTTGGGAGGCTAAGGCATGAGAATCATTTGAACTCAGGAGGTGGAGGTTGCAGTGAGCTGAGATCGTGCCACTGCACTCCAGCCTGGGTGACAGTGAGACTCCATCTCAAAATGAAGAAAAAAGAACTTACAGCGTCCCTGCGCTCTTCTCAGGACTTTCTTTGCATTAAGTCCTTTAGATTTCAGAGCAGCCCACTGAGGTAGGTACTATTATTGCCAATACAGAAGAGGGAACTGAGGCTCAGAGAAGTGAAGGAACTCTCCCAAGGCCGCACAGCTGGGGAAGAGCTGGCATTTCAACCCAGGCAGTCTGGCTCTCTGGTCTGCTCTTAACCACCCTACAGGAAAAGGTTCCAGAGGGTGGTGTGCTCCACAGTGCAGAGGCTGAGTACCTGTAGGAAGCTGATGGACTGTCAGATGACCACAGTGTCTTTTAGCTTTTTTTTTTTTTTTTTTTTTGAGACGGTAACTCTTGTTACCCAGGCTGGAGTGCAATGGCGCGATCTCGGCTCACCGCAACCTCCGCCTCCTGGGTTCAGGCAATTCTCCTGCCTCAGCCTCCTGAGTAGCTGGGATTACAGGCATGCGCCACCATGCCCAGTTAATTTTTTTGTATTTTTAATAGAGACGGGGTTTCATCATGTTGACCAGGATGGTCTCGATCTCTTGACCTCATGATCCACCCGCTTCGGCCTCCCAAAGTGCTGGGATTACAGGCTTGAGCCACCGCGCCTGGCCACTTTTAGCTTAATCATTAATGTTTTATAACTTTTTTTCAGGGACAAAATATTCATGTTAGTCATAGTCATTAAAAAGTTTTTCTTTCTTTCTTGATTTTTTTTTTTTTTTTTTTTTTTTTTTTTTTTTTTTTGAGACATGGTCTTGCTCTGTTGCTCAGTCTGGAGTGCAGTGGTGCCGTCACAGCTCAGGCCCACTGCTTCCTTAACCTCCTGGGCTCAAGCAATTCTCCCATCTCAGCCTCCTGAGCAGCTGGGACTATAGGCACTTGTCACCATGCCCAGCTGATTTTTGTAATGGGGTTTCACCATGTTGCCCAAGTTGGTCTCAAACTCCTGTGCTCAAGTGATCCTTCTGCCCTGGCCTCCTGAAATACTGGGATTACAGGTGTGAGCCATTGTGCCTGACCTAAACATTATTTTTTAAGCAGGAGAATTCAAGTAAGCAGAATGTTATGTACCAATGGTGTGTACTGCTAGTACTTTATTCTGAATTTTCACTACGTGCTTGTGTTTCCATTGCACAGAGGAGGTATGAGGAAGCAAAAATAACTCACCTTCAGTTTCACAGTTGGTGGAGCAGAGCTGCATGGAGGCCAGGTTTCCCTAACCTTTCCTGCTGCCCCAGACTGGCTGAGCAGGGAGCCTGCTCAGGCACCATCTGCGTCTGCCCTGCCCTCTCCAGTCTCTCCTCTCTCCCCAGGATTGAGCGATCCACGGACCAGGTCATCAAGCCTGTTAACCTGGAAGCGCTCTCCAAGTGGACTGGCCACATCCCTGGGGATGTGCTGCGAGACATGGCCCAGATCGCCCCCATGCTGGCTCGGCTTGGCTATGACCCCTATGCAAACCCCCCCAACTACGGCAACCCTGACCCCATCGTCATCAATAACACGCACCGGGTGAGTGTGCACCTGCACTTGTGGAAATGTGCTCTCGGGGATTTGGGGCCTTTGCAGCTGTGGAAGCTCCAGCCACCTGAGGAGATGTCCAGTCTTTCAGTTCCTGGTTATCTGGTTTGTTTGTATCTGAAGGACACAGTGAGCTGCATGATGGCTTGTATTTCCATTTTGCCTGAGCTGCAGGGAAGCTCAAAGCCAACTAGTAGCCTGTCTCACACTCTACCATCTAATAGCAGGCCAGCTTGTATACTGATGTCATCTTATTTCTCTGATTTTATTTACATGTTGACCCCTGTTTCCCTGGCTATTTGTTTATCTGTTTGCAAAGCAGCTCAAGTCTTTGTTGAGAGGGAGTGTAAATAAATAAACTGTTGGTCTCTTTCTTGCCTGATAAGGTTTAATGTTGATTTCTTGGCTGGGTGAAGTGGCTCAAGCCTGTAATCCCAGCACTTTGGGAGGCCAAGGTGGGTGGATCACAAGGTCAAGAGATCGAGACCATCCTGGTCAACATGGTGAAACCCCGTCTCTACTAAAAATACAAAAAATTAGCTGGGCATGGTGGCACGTGCCTGTAGTCCCAGCTACTCAGGAGGCTGAGGCAGGAGAATTGCCTGAACCCAGGAGGCGGAGGTTGAGGTGAGCCAAGATCGCGCCATTGCACTCCAGCCTGGGTAACAAGAGCAAAACTCCGCCTCAAAAAAATAAAAAAGGTTGATTTCTCAGACAAATGTGAGTTTAGGGCTGGTTAAATTACTTCTAAAATTCTCTGCAGTTAAGGTGGTGAGGGGAAATGACTTCTTTAGTTTAGTTTAGTTTTGTTTGAGATATGGTCTTGCTCTGTTGCTCAAGCTCTGTGCAGTGGTGCAGTCACAGCTCACTGCAGCCCTATACTTCTGGGCTCAGGCCATCCTCTCATGCTAGGCTCCACTGAGTAGCTAGGACTACAGGCGCACACCACCATGCCCAGCTAATTTAATTTTTTATAAAGGCGGGGTCTCGCTATGTTGCCCCTGGTTTGGAACTCTTGGCCATAAGGGATCCTCCTGCTTCACTCTCCCAAAGTGTTGAGATTAGAAGTGTGAGCCTCCAGTGACTGACAACATGCTTTGAAGTGTTAAAAGGTAGGCTAACACCCACTGCATAGAAGAACAGTTAACAAGTTGATGTCCTTACTTATACGTTGCCATTATAGCTTCTAGTTCACTTCAAGTGCTGTGTTCTGACTTCGTTATAGGCAAATATTTGAAAATGGGACCCAGGCCAGAGGAAGAGCTTTCAAGACCCTTGCACCATTAAGACCCAGAGTCTTTAAGCTAAGCTCAGCATTTCTGAGCGTGTGCTGATTTTAGGAAGTAAACAGTTCCTGTATTGAATCACAGCGGAAAAAAGTTAATCATCTCTTAGTTCTATAACTCTTCATTTGGCTCAAAAAGGAAGTTTCGTTTTGGTGATAAGAAGTCATTAGTGCCTCTCCAACACCCACTGATCTCTCTTTAACAAAGAGAATTTACTAACACTGAGCTTTGGGGGCTCTCCCCTTGTAATCGAAGTGTAAGCTTTGTCTGTGGGTCTCATGAGTTCCTCTTCATCTTGACATTAGTTGATTTTGCAGACATCTATTTACGGAAATACTCAGAGCTCCAACGTACATACCCAGCTGACATTGACAGGTGAACGGTGCAACCCAGATGTGGTTTATTATTTTTATTATAAATATTATTATTTTTATTTTATTATTCTTTAGTAATAGTAATCTTTAAACTCTCTGTGTTTTACATACTTTACCTACGTGTTGTATATTTATATTATCATAATAAAAAATTAATTGGCCAGGCGCGGTGGCTCCTGTAATTACACACCTGTAATTCCGGCACTTTGGGAGGCCAAGGCAGGTGGATTGCCTGAGCTCAGGAGTTCTCAACCAGCCCGGGCAACACAGTGAAACCCCATCTGTACTAAAATACAAAAAATTAGCCAGGCGTGGCAGTGTGCTCCTGTAGTCCCAGCTGCTCAGGAGGCTGAAGCAGAAGAATTGCTTGAACCCAGGAGGCGGAGGTTGCAGTGAGCTGAGATCGCATCACTGCACTCCAGCCTGAGCGATAGAGCAAGACTCCATCTTAAAAAAAGAAAATTAACTGGATTAAAAAGGTGGTAGTAATCTCAAAAGCCAGCCCCAGATGTTTCTCAGAAGCAGAGGCCAGGGCCGGCTGGGGGCACTGCAGTAGTGGGCTGGGTGCTGCCTGCGTCACTGTTCTCAGCAAGGACCCAGCAGTGGCTCCTCTGGGGTCTCTTTAAAAGGTGGCTGGGGGCCCCTGGCTTGCCCCAGTTCCTGGAGTAAGGCCTGACTTTATATATTTTATAAAACAAATAATTCTCACGAGCACTGGTGGTTAATACCTGTGGAGCTTTTTATGTTTATTTATAGTGGAAACTCTCTCATTTTCTTCCAAAGAGGTTTCTTCCCTGGGGTGGTCCACAAGTCCTGGCAAGTGCTAGATCCCTGGTTCAGTTTTTGCTGTAGCTTGGCTGTTCCTGTGAAGATTAAGTCCTCTCACTAAGCCCTGTGAGTGTGCATGCGTGCCTGTGTGTTTCTGTGAGTGCTGTGGACCCTGTGTGTTCCAATAATGGATCCTGGGGCTCAGTAAATGCAGTGGCGAAAAGGATAGCTATTCCGATGAAATTGTCTCTGCCTGTGCTGTCCCATGTGGTAGCCGCTAGCCACGTGTGGCCACTGATTCTGTAAAGGGAGGCTAGTCCAAAGTGAGAGGTGCTGTTAGTGTAAAATACACACTAGATTTTAAAGGCTTAGGACAAAAAACAAGTATGTAACATTTCTCGCTAGTCACTTTCATATAAATTACATATTGAAATGTTAATATTTTAGATAGGCTGGATGTGATGACTCATGTTTATAATCCTAGCACTTTTGGAGGCTGAGGCAGGCACATTGCTTGAGCCTAGGAGTTTGAGACCAGCCTGTGCAACATGGTAAAACCTCATGTTTACTAAAAATCCAGAAAATTAGCCAGGCATGGTGGCATGTGCCTGTGGTCCCAGCTACTCGGGAGGCTGAGGTGGGAGAATTACCTGAGCCTGGGAAGTGGAGGCTGCAGTGAGTCATGATCACACCACCACACTCCAGCCTGGGCTACGGGCTCTCTTTTTTTGAGACTCTGTCTCAAAAAAATAAAAAAAGTTTTTAGCTATATCACATTGAATAAAAGATACTAGAATTTCCCTGGTTTCATTTTCTTTTTAAATGTGACTTCTAGGGCCGGGTGCGGTGGCTCACGCCTATAATCCCAGCACTTTGGGAGGCCGAGGCGGGTGGATCACAAGGTCAAGAGATCGAGACCATCCTGGTCAACATGGTGAAACCCCGTCTCTACTAAAAATACAAAAAATTAGCTGGGCATGGTGGCGTGTGCCTGTAATCCCAGCTACTCAGGAGGCTGAGGCAGGAGAATTGCCTGAACCCAGGAGGCGGAGGTTGTGATGAGCCGAGATTGTGCCATTGCACTCTAGCTTGGGTAACAAGAGTGAAACTCCGTCTCAAAATAAATGAATGAATGAATGAATGTGACTCCTAGCAGAAGGGCCCAAAATGCTCTAACTTCAGGGCCTTTGCTCTGTTTCCTCTACCTGGGAGCCTTTTTCTTCTGAGCTTAGCCTACCTATTTTTCCTTGTCATTTGGGTTTCAGCTCAAAGGTTGTCTATTTCGAGAGGCCCTTTTTTATTTTTATTCATTCTTTTTTTTAAGAGATAGGGTCTCACTCTGTCACTCAGGCTGGAGTGGAGTGATGCGATCTTACTTCACTGCAGCCTCAACCTCCTGGGTTCAACCAATCCTCCATCCTCAGCCTCCAGAGTAGCAGGGACTGTAAATGCATGCCATCATGCCCAGCTAATTTTTAATTTTTGTAGAGACGTGGTTTTGCTATGTTTCCCAGGCTGGTCTCAAACTCCTGGACTCAATCGATCCTCTTGCGTCAGCCTCCAGAAATGCTAGGATTACAGGCGTGAGTCACTGCGCCTGGCACAAGAGTCCCTTCTTGACCACCCACTCAGAAGAAGCCCCCTGGTTACTCTTAATCATACCTCTTTACTGTACTTTCTTTACAACAGTCCCATGGTTTGCTATGCCCTTGTTTATTTGTGGCTATTGTTTCCTGTGTATTATCTGGTGCCTCCTCTAGAACAGTGGCTCCAGGGGAACAGGAATTTCAATTATCTGGTTGACATTGTGTCAACCAGACACAATGCTTAAAATAATGCCTAGAGGAAGAGGAGCTTAACCAATGTTTGTTGGATGGAGGGACGGGTGGGTAAGTTGGATGGGTGGAGGAGTGGATGTGTTGGGAATGCCTACATTTTATTTTTTGGTCATTTTCATAACAGTGATATTTCTTTTTCTCTTCCTTAGGTCTTGAAAGGGGACTATAAAACACCAGCCAATCTGAAAGGATATTTTCAGGTTAGAAACCCCAAGGGGAATTCTGAAGTCTGTCTTTCTCAGCTATACTGCCAGCTGGCTGTATGCCCTTAGATGTGTGATTTCTCCACTGTGGTTGACGGTTTTCCCATTATAAAAAGGGGGGTGTGGGCTGGACCAGAGGGTCTCTAAGCACTGATCCAGCTGGGGCCTCATCTCAGTGGCCCTTCTGCCAGGGAGCAGCCTTTCACTTCATCATCTGGCTTGAATGCAGTTGGAGGGAGTTTGTGGGGACTTTTTCTTGAACTTTCTTTTTTTTTTGAGACTGGAGTGCAGTGGTATCATCATGGCTCACTGCAGCCTCAATCTCCTGGGCTCAAGCAATCCTCCTACCTCAGTTCCCCAAGTGGCTGGTGTTACAGGCACACACCACCACACCCAGCTAATTTTTGTATTTTTTTGTAGGGACAGGATTTAGGCATGTTGCCCAGGCTTGAGTTGTATTATTTATAATCAACAGGTAGCAGTTAGTAAAGTGCTTTCCTGTGTCCTGTGAGCTGTCCTAGTAAATGATCAAACCCGAGTAGGGTTTGTGGGAACCTCCAGATTTGTAGTTGGCTGGGAAGAAGTGTGGATAGCCTGGGCACCCCATTGCAGCTGGCATCTAAAGTGGGGCAGGTGTGGAACCGAGCCCTTAATCCACAGCAGCTGATGCTAACTCACTCTGGGAGTCACCGTCAGAACTGAACTGAGTTGTTGAACACCCAGCTGGTATCTGGATAATCAGAGAATTGGTCACTGATGTTGCAAAACACCCATAAGCCAATATCTGAAAGATTAAAACCAGGTCTGCCACACAAAGGTCTGGATGAAAACGGTTTTCCTCCCGGCAGAGGGAACTGTAAATGCCTGGAAGTGGGGAGAGTGGTGAAACCTCTGGAGTGAGTATGCACTTTTGCATTCGTTGCAATTATGTTTTTGTTTGTTTGTACCCCAATGTGATTTACAGGAATGTTCACTGCAAATTTAATGTTCAAGCTGCTTTGCTTTGCTTTATTAGTATTTTTTTTTTGAGACGGAGTTTTGCTCTTGTTACCCAGGCTGGAGTGCAATGGTGCGATCTCGGCTCACCGCAACCTCCGCCTCCTGGGTTCAGGCAATTCTCCTGCCTCAGCCTCCTGAGTAGCTGGGATTACAGGCACGCGCCACCATGCCCAGCTAATTTTTTGTATTTTTTAGTAGAGACGGGGTTTCACCATTATGACCAGAATGGTCTCGATCTCTTGACCTTGTGATCCACCCGCCTTGGCCTCCCAAAGTGCTGGGATTACAGGCTTGAGCCACCGCACCCGGCCCAGTATTTTCCTATCTTTTGAGTTTCACTGGCACCATTTTGGGTGGCTACATAGCATTCTGTGGAATGCATGTGCTATTATTTACTAAATAGCTTCTTCAAGACCATTCCCTGTTTTTACGATATCCAGTATGTGCACAGTGGAGGACAGTTGGGGAAAGGAGGGTTACAAGTAGAGGCTTGACACGGTTTATCTGCAGGGCGGCCCTCCTGAGCATGGGAGCGTGCCTTTCCTTCATATTTTATTCCTAAAAGCAACAAAAACAAGTCCCAGGTCAGCTAGACATCTTGCACATGTCATACACTGCAGGGAAGTATCAGGAAAGTATAAACTGGCCTTTTTTTTTGATATGCAGTTTTGCTCTTGTTCCCCAGGCTAGAGTGCAATGGTGTGATCTCAGCTCACTGCAGTCTCTGCCTCCCAGGTTCAAGCGATTCTCCTGCCTCACCCTCCCAAGTAGCTGGGATTACAGGCACCTGCTACCACGCCTGGCTAATTGTTGTGTTTTTAGTAGAGACAGGGTTTCCCCATGTTGGCCAGCTGGTCTTGAACTCCTGACCTCAAGTGATCCACCTGCCTTGACCTCCCCAAATGCTGGGATTACAGGCGTGAGCCACCGCTCCCTTCCCCAACCCTTTTATAAAACACTTTTAGCCTTGTTATTCAAGAGTCTTCAAAAGATCTGAACCCTTCCACCTGCTGATTCCATTTTTTTTTTTCTTTTTGAGACGGAGTTTCACTGTGTCACCCAGGCTGGAGTGCAGTGGCGCCATCTGGGCTCACAGCAACCTCCGCCTCCCAGGTTCAAGCATGATTCCATTTTTAAAAAGTGTATTCTAACGGAATGATTCAGTAGAGCTTCAGTATCCAACAGAAGAGAGGCAAAATCAGGATGATATGTATGTGATGTCATTCAGAACACTGCAGAAATTGGAACCAGTCCTAGGGAAGCAGTCAGTAAATGGAGGAACGTGCACTCCACCGAACATACATAGCCATCCAAAAGGGTGCCAGTGAAACCCAAATGATGGAAAAACAGTAAGAAAGCAAAACAAAGCAGCTCATATTATACAATTGCAACTAGTGCAAAAATGCATATTCAGGTGGGCAAAAAAAGGCAATACACAGGAGTTAGGTGCAGTGCGTGCCTGCAGTCCCAAGTTCTCAGGAGGCCGAGGCAGGAGGACTGCTTGAGTCCCTGTCTCAAAAACAAAAAAACCAAGAAACAAAGGTCGGGTGCAGTGGCTCACGCCTGTAATCCCAGCACTTTGGGAGCCTGAGGTGAGTGGATCATGAGGTCAGAAGATCAAGACCATGCTGGCCAACATGGTGAAACCCTGTCTCTACTGAAAATACAAAAATTAGTCAGGCGTGGTGGTGCCTACTTGTAATCCCAGCTACTCGGGAGGCTGAGGCAGGAGAATCACTTGAACCCGGGACGCAGAGGTTGCAGTGAGCTGAGATCGTGCCACTGTGCTCCAGGCTGGCGACAGAGCAAGACTCTGTCTCAAATAAAGAAACAAACAAAAAAGGCAACAGACAAAAATGAAAAGTTTCCGTTTCTGGGTAATTCCCATCCTCACTGCGTTGTTCTTCCTACATCATCTTTTTGGTTAAAACAAATAACAAATTAACGCTCACTAATTCTGGCAACATTTTTTCACACCGGCAAAAGATAAGTCTCTGATTCCCACAAAGGGAGTGGGACCTGTCCCCAAACAACCGGAAAGTGCTCAAAAGCCATGGTCCCTAACTTTCAGATCTCATTATTATTATTATTTTTTAAATTCAAGACCAGCCTGGCCAATACAGTGAGACCCCCATCTCTCTACAAAAAAAAGAAAGCCTTGGCTGGGTATGGCACCTGTTGTGCATGTTCATGCCACTGCATTCTGGCCTGGGCGACAGAGTGAGACCCTGTCTCAGAAAAAGAATACAACTCAGGTACAGTCAAGTGGAAGATGCCTAGGGTGAGGTGTTGGGGATGGGTCATGAAACTTCCATACCCTCTCCAGGCGTGACACCCTCCCGGCCTCTCAATGTGTTTACCAAGCCGGAAGCTCTCCAAATTGTGTCATTTAGACATTTCAATGGAGGTTTCATTATATAGGCATGACTGATTAAATCATGGGTCATGGGTGATTGCTCAGTCTCCATCCCCTGTCCCCTAGCTCCTCTCCCCTCACAGGAGGAGGTCAGGGAGGCGGGAAGGCAGGTGGGGCTTAAAATTCCAACCCTCCAGCAGGGAGTTGTGGCTCATGCCTGTCATTCTAGTACTTTGGGAGGCTGAGGCAGGGAGATCACTTGAGGTTAGCAGTTCGAAATCAGCCTGGCCAACATGGTGAAACCCTGTCTCCACTAAAAGTACAAAAAAAATTAGCCGGGTGTGGTGGCATGCATCTGTAGTCCCAGCTACTTAGATGGCCGAGGCAGGAGAATTGCTTGAAGCTGGCAGGCGGAGGTTGCAGAGAGCCGAGATCATGCCACTATACTCCATCCAGCTTGTGCAACAGAGTGAGAATTCGTCTCAAAAAAAAAGTCCCAACCCTCTAATCATGCCTTGGTCTTTTTGAGACCCCTTCCCCCTATCCTGAAACTATCTAGGGATCCCCAGCCACTAGTCATCTCATCATGCAAAAGATACCCTTATCCCTTCAGAGAGTCCGAGGGTTTGTGGAGTTATGTGCCAGGAACTGGGGACAATGACCAAATATTTATTATTATACCACAGCGGAAATGCCATCTTGTAGAGTCCTTTCCTGGCCACCATTTCTGAAGTAGCACAGATTCTGATCATTCACAACAGCCTGTCACATTGCTCAGGTTTGACGTTATCTTGCATCTGTGCGTGTTTGATAGGCTTTTTCTCCAACTTGAATGTAAGTTCCGTGGTCCTAGTTTTGGGTCTGTCACACTCACTACGCTATCCTAGCATCTGGCACATAGTAGATGTACAATAGATATTCCATGAGTAAGCATGTGCCTGACTCTGATGCAGAGGGGTGACCGTCAAGACAGCGAGGCATCCCCCACCTGGCCGTCACCCCTTCCTCTGTGTATTCTTTCTCCAGGTGAACCAGAACAGCACCTCCTCCCACTTAGGAAGCTCGTGATTTCCAGGTAAGCCTGTGGACTTCACTGAGGGTTCCTGCTGCTTCTGGGTGGCCCTGGAGCCATTTTTCTGAAAGGCTGGTCCTTCCAGAGCCTCCCTGGGGGAGAAATGTCTACAAGGGTGGGCTGACCCAGCCCCATCAGAGGTTTCCATGGTGACAGACTGGGGGTGCTATTTATAGAATTAAGGCTTAGTCTTCTAGCTCTGGATCAAGGACAGGGACAGGGATTAATGCTGAACCCACTGGAAAAGGTTTGTCTTACACTGGGGATGGGGCAGGAAGGACCACTGTGATTGGGGAGGAGGGATTCTGGAACCATTTTTGCACAGAATGCTGTCTGCCAGTCTGGCTTCTAAAAATGGTGTCAGCATTGGCCCAAAGCAATTAATTTTCTAGTAATAGTCACAAGCAGTTCTGTGCTAAGAATAACCCCCATGGCCATTGGGCCAAGTACTCAGGTACTAGTCCTGTGTTACTCATTTGGTCCTCGGCATCCCTGGGAGGCAGATGACATGATCATCCCATTTTACAGAAGAGAAAACAAAGCACAGAGAAGGGCTCTGAGTTGCCCAAGGCTACACAGCCGCCAAGTGGCAGAATTCCTCCCAGTCTTGCTTTTAGTGAATGATTTTAAGTGCATATTTATCCATCCATATTCTGCTAAGGTGTGGGGAAAGGGATTTTTTGAACTTGGTAATTCAAAGATTTAAGAACTCCAGGTTTAACTTCTTTCAGCCCCTGTTTTCTTCATCTGGAGAATGGGGAGTCATCACTGCCTGCCTCTGAGGGTGGTCATGAGATGAAGGGAGCTGGCCCAGGTGGGAGTGCTTGGAAACTGTGAAGTGCTGGGCCCTCACTGTGGACTTGGACAGTGGAGTTAAGGCTCCATGAGTGAGCTTACTTCCTTCTGTCCCCTAGCCTCTATGATCAGGTTCCAGGAAACTGAAGGGAACCCCACAGAGAGGTTATTTTATATTGAAACAGAGCTTCCAGCCTGGACTCTTATTTTTAGTCTCTTTATTTTTAAACAATCAGCATATTTTTAAAGTTTTTCTTTTACTTTGCTCCAACCTGCAAGGACTCTGTCATTATCGGGGTTCCCATCTTGAGTTGCACTAAAACCCCAGTTTTTGTTTTTTTGGGTTGTTTGTTTTGTTTTGAGACAGAGCCTTACCCTTTGGCCAGGCTGGAGTGCAGTGGCATGATCTGGGCTCACTGCAATCTCCACCTCCCAGGGTTCAAGCGATTCTCATGCCTCAGTCTTCCAGGTAGCTGGGATTACAAGTGTGCGCTACCTGGAAGGCTGAGGCATGAGAATCGCTGATTTTTGTATTTTTGGTAGAGACGGGATTTCACCACGTTGGCCAGGCTGGTCTCGAACTCTTGGTCTCAAGTGGTCCACCTGCCTCAGCTTCCCGAAGTGCTGTGATCGCAGGTATGAGCCAACATGCCTGGCCAAGATCCCATAGTTCTATTCCAAAGAAAAGAACCCTCTCATGAAAAACAGCTTTCCTCCCTGTTCCTCACTAACCCTGTTCCCCTCACTCCCTTTCTGCTGATCATTAGTAGAATCCTGGACCTTCTCATTGACAAAAGCAGATTTGTTCTTTGTTTTACTGTTTAAATGAGATACCATACACAGAGTGCTTTAGCTATTCCTGGGTACAGAGTTGGCATTAAACAAACATGAATCCTCCCCTTGCCTCTAAGAATTCATTGGTATATATCACATAATCACTGTCATTTGCTCTTTATCCATAAGAAAAGTGTATCTTCGAGGTTAATTGGATCCAAGATGAAATATGTGGAAGAACCCAGGAAATGTTGTTTTGTTTTTGAGATGGAGTCTTACTCTGTTGCCCAGGCTGGAGAACAATGGCAGGATCTCGGCTCACTGCAGCCTCCACCTCCTGGGTTCAAGTGATTCTCCTGACTCAGCCTCCTGAGTAGCTGGGATTACAGGTGCGCGCCACCATGCCCAGCTAATTTTTTTGTATTTTTAGTAGAGATGGGGTTTCACCATGTTGGTCAGGCTGATCTCGAACTCCTGACCTCGTGATCCACCCACCTCAGCCTCCCAAAGTTTTGGGATTACAGGCGTGAGCCACTGCACTGGCTTAAAATGTTTTTAAATTTAAACTCTCTCTTGCCATCTGGGATGCATTCTTAAAACCTTACATGCTTATGCGAATGGATGAAGACTGTACAGTCTGCAATCACATGTACAAATAGAAATGATCTATTTCAGAACTGTTACTCTGTGCCTAACACAGTCTTCCCCCCTTTCAGATCTCTGCAAATGGCTTCATTGCCAAGAAGAAAAGAAACTGCATTTAAGTGGAAATCGGACCTCTAATCCAAGCATATTGCTTGCTGTTAATCGCCAAAACAGGACTGCTGATGAGGAATGTATTTGCATATGTCTGCAAAAGCTGAATCATTGAAAACGTACCTTGAAACTCTCTATCTTTGGACACTCCGGGGTAGAGGACAAAGGGTATGGAAGTAGTCTGGCTTTTGAAAGTTAGGTATTTTATATGTTTCCCCTCGAGAACTTCTTTTTAAGGGTGCATTTGCCACCCTCCTTAATGTGCAGGACTGCCTTGGTGGCTTTGTTTGCTGGGACAAGGCCCACACAACCTGTGCCTCTCCTACTGATCCTTACTTTGAATTCGAAGAATCTATTTAAGAATTTAATATATGAGGCTTTCTTTGATTCCTCCTCAGTTCTACCTAGTCTCACAGAGAAAAACAACAACAAATACAATTTGAATAAAGTGAACATGGGTTCATTTGTTTGTGCCTTACTTTACTGAATGGATAGTTTTTCTTTTTTTTCCATATTGAATTTTGTCAGATTTGTGACAAGCCAAAAGCTAGAGAAGATAGGTGCATGTAAGACACAGGTGAATTCCTGTATTGGGGTCACCAAGGCCACCCCCAGGATCAGTGATTGGCTAGAAGAACTCAGAATTCAGAAGAGCTGTTATCCTCATGGTTATAGTTTATTACTGTGAAAGGATACACATGAACATCAGCAAATGGGGCCGGGCGCAGTGGCTCACGCCTGTAGTCCCAGCACTTTGGGAGGCTGAGGCAGGTGGATCACCTGAGGTCGGGAGTTCAAGACCAGCCTGGCCAACATGGTGAAACCCCATCTCTACTAAAAATACCAAAATTATCCAGGCGTAGTGGTGGGCGCCTGTGATCCCAGCTACTTGGAAGGCTGAGTCAGGAGAATCGCTTGAACTCAGGAGGCGGAGGTTGTAGTGAGCTGAGATCATGCCATTGTACTCCAGCCTGGGTGACAGAGCAAGACTCTGTCTCAAAATAAAATCAGTAAAAGAAAAAGGTGCATAGGGCAGAGTGCAGGAGAGATCAGCCTCAAGCTTCCAGTTGTCCTCTCCCAGGGGAGACTCACAGACACACTTAATTTTCCCAGCAATGATATGTGATAACACACACAAAGTATTACCAGCCACAAGGCTCACCCTGGCCTTGGGGTCTAGGTTTTTATTGCATGTCAGTCACATAAGGACAATCACATGACTAACTTTAGTTACTTTATCACCAGCTGCTCCAGAGGTCAAAATGACACAGCATGGCCCAAGGTCCCCACTATAAATCACAGCATCATCACAAACTATCTGGCCTGGTGTGGCCCAAGGCCTCAGGTATATAAAGATACCCCTATTTGGGAGGATATTCCAAGGACTTAGAGGTTGTCTCCCAGGAACCCATGAAGGCCAGTTTTTTCTTTTGAGATGTGTTGGGTTTGGACACTTCAAGCCTGCTGAGTTAACCCTTTATGGCATGGTCCCCAAATGCTGAGGAACCAACTGGGCCTACAACAAGTTTGTATCTTTAAGGGTTAAGATGTTTTACCCTACCTCCTTGACTTATTGTGGCTTGGGGTAATGGATTTTTGGAGTCAGGCTGACCTACTGGCTGTACGGCTTGATCCTTCCTCTCTTTATCTGTAAAATGGGGAAGTTAAAACTTCATGGTGTCTGGAGTGTGTATGTTTAGACAGAATCTCGCTCTGTCACTCAGGCTAGAGTGCAGTGGCATGATCTTAGCCCACTGCAGCCTCTGTCTCCTGGGCTCTCCTCCCACCTCAGCCTACTGAGTAGTTGGGACTACAGGCATGTGCCACCACACCTGGCTACTTTTAAATTTTTTTTTTTTTTTTTGTAGAGATGAGGTCTTTCTATGCTGTCCAGGCCAAACTTCATGGGTTTACTGGGGCTGGCTAATGGATGATGCTGGCAGTGGTCCTTGGTACCAGATGAGCCCTCAGTGTGAGGCAGCTCTTGTCTTTCCTTGTCTTGAGACTGCTCTGGAATTGTAATTTGGCTTTTTTGAAGGTATGAGACCCTTTTTGTTCATTACTTCAGCAGTTACTTCTTTTTATTTTTGAAATTTTTGACATACAGTCTCTGGGAAATGGTCACTCACCAATCACTGATGACTCTCCTGATCTGCTTAAGTGTGACATTGTCCCTTTGAGAATCTGGTGACAGCTGTGCATCCCTTTCCCCCCACACACAAAAAAAGAATTTATGTGTGGTTTCAGAAGTTCCACCTTTTATGAGCGGTCCATCCATGAAGACCCTGAGTATTCACAGAACTTCCTAGGAAAACACTGAAAGAAAATAAACAGGCTGGGCCCAGTGGCTCATGCCTATAATCCCAGCACTTTGGAAGGCCGAGGTGGGCAGATCACCTGAGGTCAGGCATTTGAGACCAGCCTGGCCAACGTGGCAAAACCCCATCTCTGCTAAAACTACAAAAATTAGCCAGGTATGGTGTGGCGTGCCTGTCACTGCAGCTACTTGGGAGGCTGAGGCAGGAGAATCTCTTGAAACTGGGAGGCAGAGGTTGCAGTGAGCCAAGATCGTGTCAGTGCACTCTGTCTAAAATAAAATAGGTGAGAGAAAGGAAAGAACAGATTCTGTTTCTAGCCCCCAAGTCGTAGCTTTGGGTCTTGTCCCCTGAAAAAAATTAGGCTCATCTCCCCTGATTTGATCTGAAAAGATTTTGTTTAGAGTACTACATGAATATATTATAAAACCTGGGACAATCAGAAGAGTTCATAGTAAGAATGCAGGTGGCTGTATTTGTACTTCTCAATATCTCCTTTCTTCATGAAGGTAATGCTACCATTTTCTGTTTGGACATAGTCGTCCAGACTTTAAATTTTTGAACATTAAATATCATCTTAAAGATGTATGAAAGAAACATTCTGAGTAGGTTATTCCAAAGTGTGACTTTAACAAATTGCCCTGGCGGTTGTTTGTTTTGGAGACAGAGTCTTGCTTTGTTGCCTAGGTGGGAGTCCAGTGGCACAAACACAGCTCACTGCAACCTCCAACTCCTGGGCTCAAGCAATCCTTCCACCTCAGCCTCCCGAGTGGCTGGACCATGACACCCGGCTAATTTTTTATTTTTTGTAAAGATGGGATTTCACTATGTTGCCCAGGCTGGTCTCAAGCTCCTGGGCTGAAGCAATCCTGCCTCCACGTCTCAAAGTGCTGGGATTACAGGCATGAGCCCCCGCCCCTGGCTCCTGGAGCGTTGCTGATGTAAACATGTGCTGATTTAACACCACTCCTTTTACTAGCTGCCTGTTCTAACGCAAACCATCTTTTTTGAGCATTTCACTTTGGCTAGGTCCTTAGGCCGTTCCCAATTTTCACTGCTATTGGCAAAGCTGTAGTGGACATTCTCCTGCATATATAACCTGGAGCCACTGTATGAGTGAGCCTCTGCAAAATGAGAAGTAGAATTGCTGAGGTGAAAGGCATGCACATTAACTTTTTTTTAATTCCACCCAAGCACCCTGATTTGGGCAGAATTTTCATCTCACTGTGAAATCAGAGCCTTGTTCTAGAGCCTTTCTTGGGGGTCCCTTGGAGCAGTGGGTTAACTGTCACTTGTACCCTGGCCCATCCTCTGTCCAGCTTGGGCAACATGCATTCTGATTCCGTAATTTGCCATACATGAAAACGTGGTAATCTATATATTATGTGGGTGCTTTATTATATATAATTAGCTTTGGTGTCACAGCCAGCATCACATCCTGGCTCTACCACTTTCTAACTGACTGGCCAAGTGATTCTACTTCTCTGAGCCTCAGTTTTCCACTATAAAATGGGAGTAAAGGGATAAGAACTAAGGGGGATCTCAGGGGATGGTTAAGAGAAATCCCAACCCAAGAGAAATGTGAGATAAGCAAACACATTATCTAGTTTAGTAGAGCTAAGCAGTGAAGACTTACAGCTCCATGGTGAAGGCTTAATAAATAGTAGCTATGATTACTGTTACCTTGTGGAATAAGAGACAGGTTGTGATGAACCATCCATATCTTCTCATCAGGATGCATGTTTGTCCGACTGATCGCCAGCCATCTGTAGTCATGGCATGGGGTTGGAGAACAGTCTTCTGCACATGTGCCTGATGGACTGAATACAGATCTCTACCCTCATTAGCAGCTGCTAACCTGGTTGAGCCATCAGGGCCTCCAAAGGGCTTGGCAATTTTTCATTAAAAAAAAAATCTCTTACCTATGTCTACCCAAAGAATAAATCCCCTACCCCTCCAGGGTAAGGAATGGACAGTTGATGGAATTACAGACCCAGGAAGCTCCTGGTCACCAGTCACTGGGTAGCAGAGGACATCCAATCTCATTCATTGTTCCATTCATCTCTTGGCAACCAACTAGCCCCAAACTGAGTGACTTAAAACAACCTTTTTTTTTTGAGGCAGAGTTTCGCTCTTGTCACCCAGGCTGGAATGCAATGGTGTGGTCTCGGCTCACTGTGACCTCCACCTCCCAGGTTCAAGCAATTCTGCCTCAGCCTGCCCAGTAGCTGGGATTACGGGTGCTTGCCACCATGCCCTGCTAATTTTTGTATTTTTAATAAAGACAGGGTTTTACCATGTTGGCCAGGCTGGTCTTGAACTCCTAACCAGCTGAGGCGGGTGGATTGCCTGAGATCAGGAGTTTGAGACCAGCCTGACCAATATGTTAAAACCCCATTTCTAATAAAAATACAAAAATTAGCCGGGCATGGTGGCATGCGCCTGTAGTCCCAGCTGCTTTGGACGCTGAGAGAGAATTGCTTGAACGTGGGAGACGGAAGTTGCAGTGAGCCAAGATTATACCACTGCACTGAAGCCTGGGCAACAGAGCGAGACTCAGTCTAAAAAAAAAAAAAAAAAAAAAAAAAGATATTGCAGAAATGACAGTGTGTGACTCCAAGACTAGGCCATAAAAGACCTTGTGGCTTCTGCCTTGCTCTCTCTTGCTTTGCTCATTTTGAGGGAACCTAGCCACTATGTCATAAGGACACTTGGTAGCCACATGGCAAGAAACTGAAACCTGCCAACAACCAGCACCAGCTTAGCAGCTTTGTGAGAGAAGCACCTTGGAAGCTGGTCATCTAGCCCTGATCAAGGCTTCAGATGACGGCAGTCCCAGCCGACAGCTTGACTGCAACCCCATGAAAGACCCTGTGTCAGAACCACTTAGCTAAGCCACTCTCAAATTCCTACCAAAAGAAATTATGTAAGATAATGTTTATTGGTGTTGGCAAGCCACTAAATTTGGAGGTAATTGTTACACTGCAATAGATAATACATAGGCACTCATTAAATATTTGTTAACGACTAAATGAATAAATGAATGATGAAGGCTGTGGTTCCTCACCTTACTGTGATTTGAGGATATTTGATTTATAGATAACACCCAGAGCCTATGGAACCTTCTGTTCCAGCTTTCTATATAAGGACAGAGTCTTCACGAATTCTTGAAAGATAAGTAGGGTAGAAACCATCTGTAAGAAACATTTAGAGGGAAATCAAATTGCTAATCTCAGCTGATCTGGGTTCTCAATTCTGCCAAGTGCAGGACACCATATATATTTTTGGGACAAAATGCAAAATAAGAATAAACCATGTGAACTGTATAATGTCACTGTCCTAGAAAAAGTACATGTGCTAGTCTTTAAATATATCAGCTTTGAAATGCCACTTATGGATTGTTTCTATGGTACCAACCTATTTAAAGTTGTAACTGAGCAAGGATTTTTTTCCCCCAAATTTTTTGTAGGCAATATGGAAAGGGTGCTCTATGGCATAGGCTGCAGAAATAAGAGGTTAGGAATGAGGACTCTGGGGTTGAAACAAACTACCTTAGAAGGCCAAGGAATCTAAGAGATGATGTCTGCAGCGTTTGGCTCTGTGGCCCTGAACACACAGGACCCTGTGCATGGTTTTGCAAAGCAAGCACCAGCCTGGGAGTTTGGACTCGGGTTTCAGGCCTGACCCTGTCCTTAAACTCACTGTGTGGTGCTGGCACCTCCCCTCTGCCAGAGCCTCTCCCACTGCATCAGCTGTGAAAGGAGAGGTATCGACCCATGAATGTTGGAGGGCTCTGCCAGCCTCCTCCTGCCCAAGGAGCCTTGTTGCTTGGCAACCCCTTTTGCGAAGGCCACATGTCTGATTACCTCACTGGGAATGTAGACATGAGTGTGGATGTTCCCAAATCCCAAAGCAACGTTTTCGTTTTCTTCCCCCTGGGAAATGACAGATCAGGATAGATATGAGACCTTGAACCTAAAGCTCTGGTTGTCTTGTAAAACTTTTCCTTGTTTTTCAAAGTCTGGGCATTTGATCCCAGAAATCCTGAAAAACGACAGATTTTTGAGACCGAGAGGGGTATGACATCGGTTTTTTTAAAAATGAAGGCCCGAGCAATGGCTCATAATCCCAGCCCTTTAGGAGGCCAAGGCGAGTGGATCACTTGAGGACAGGAATTTGAGACCAGCCAGGCCAACATGGTGAAACCCCTACTCTACAAAAAATGCAAAAATTAGGTTGGGCACGGTGGCTCATGCCTGTTTAATCCCAGCACTTTGGGAGGCCAAGGAAGGCAGTTCACAAAGTCAGGAGTTTGAAACTAGCCTGGCTAGCATGGTGAAATCCTGTCTCTAATAAAAATACAAAAAGTAGCTAGGCATGGTGGCGCATGCCTATAATCTCAGCTACTTGGGAGGCTGAGGCAGGAGAATTGCTTGAACCCAGGAGGTGGAGGTTGCAATAAGCTGATATTGCGCCACTACACTCCAGCCTAGGTGACACAGCGAGACTGTCTCAGAAAAAAAACAAAATTAATTGAAAAAAAATTAGCTGGGTGTGGTGGCGTAATGCCAGCTACTCGAGAGGCTGAGGCACGAGAATCACTTGAACCTGGGAGGTAGAGGCTGCAGTGAGCTAAGATTGCACCACTGCACTCCAGCCTAGGTGACAGAGTGAGACTCTGCCTCAAAAAATAAATAAATAAGAATACAGCCACAACCATTTAGGAGGCTCTTACCATGCCAGGAGCTTTACATGCATTAATTACCACTTTCTGTTTTTGTTTTTCTGAAAACTACTCTTAGAGCAGTACTGTCATTAGCCCCAATCTACAAATGGAAAAACTGAGGTGAAGAGAGGTTAAGCAACCTGCCCTCAGTCCCTCATCTGAGAAGTAGTGAAGTGGAGATTTGGATCCTTGACGTTTTTACTAAAGAGCTTTCATTTTTAAAAATTACAAAAAAAGTTATAAGTACAGAGAGACATTTTCCCCATAATAATTTGAGATTGAGGAGACTATCTGATGCCTTATCCCCTGCCAAATACATTAATTTACTTTCCAACAAACAAGGACATCCTCTGATGTAACTAACAGGCAACCACGAAAATCAGGAAATTAACATGGACACATCATTACCATGGCACCCTAGGCCCCATTTAAACTTTTCCAGTTGTCCCTATAACTTCCTTTCAAGCAAAATGGTCCAGTCCAGAATCATGTGTTGTGTTTAGTTGTCACGCCTCTTTGGTCCCCTTCAGTTTGGAACAGTTCAAGGGTCTTTGAGTTTCATGACCTTGGCACTTTCTAAGATTACAGTTTTGTATACAGCATGTCTCTTTATTTGGGTTTGTCTGATGTATCCTCATGATTACACTCAGGTTATGGATCTTCAGCAGGAATGTCACAAGAGTGATACTGGCATCTTCTCAGGGCATCCTACCAAGTGTCACATTACTTCACTTTGTCCCATTCCTGACAATGCAGACTCTCATCACTACATCAGAGCCTGCACTCTTAACTACCCCATGACAGTCTACAAAGGTCCCTTCTCCAGAAGCCACAGAGTGAGATCCATTTGGTAAAGCAAATCCACTAGCATCAGTCCCTCATGATCAAAGTAATTGCGGCTCCATAACATCTGCTGTAAAGCCGTTAACATAGCAACAGAAAAGCCAAGCTTATGTACATTTTTGGCTTTTGGGCTACAAACAGATGTATATACATTCAGGCACAGACTAAAAACACTTTTTTCCCCTTGTTTCCCTCACTTCGCTCCTGGTGGGCCTTGTAGTCTGTTAGACCCTCTCTCCCAGGCTTCAATGCTAAAACTACATTTTCTATTTCTTTCCAGAGTACATACTATGTGTCAGGCACAATTACTCTACATGTCACTAGGAATACTAGATCATTAAGACACAGTCACCATTGCTAAGAAACCCACATTTAACTGGGTACACAAAAATTGTTTAATTCTTAACAACCATTTGATGGTAGATGTAAGTATTTGACTCCAAGTCCCATGCTCTTTTTACATTCCAACAATTGTCTCTTGGATCTTTTCATCACATAGAGCAGAGAGAAAAATAAGCAAAAATTAATAGCTGACTCTTTCTCAGCACCTACTGTGTGCCAGGCACAGTTTTTGTGGCCTACAGTTTTATCTTATTGAATCCTTAGCCATTTTGCAGAAGAGAAAACTCACTTACGTGTTTTCTTAGACTTGCCCAAGGTCCACAGCTGCTAAATTGCAGAGTCAAGTTTGGAACTCCAGAGCCTGTGTATAGTTAAATGTCTACACAGAGCCCAGGGATAGTGAGGGCTTCCCAGGGAGGGCCCAGGAGTATTCTGCTCACTATATCTCCTTGGCCTAGCACAGGTGAGGGGCACTCAGTATATTTTAATTAAATCAGTGAATAAATGAATGAATTTACAAACCTGCTGGAAATGAGAATGGAAACGTCTCCTGGAGAGAATACTTGGGAACTCTAGAGTTTGCCCATTATTCCTTCATTCCCTCTTAAACTCCTGCATAAAGGACACTGCCCTGTGCCCAAGACGGTGCTTATGAGACAGAGCCAAAGATACAAGAGACACAGTTTTGATCTTCATTATACCCAATTGAATGCTGTGTCCCAGGCACCCTATCATCTCACAGTATGTACCACAACTACCCTATGGGCTAATCCTACATCTCTATTTTACAGATTTACAATCTCAGAGTGGCAAAGTCTCCTTAGGCCAAGATGGCTCAGCGGATTCCACACCAGTCATCACAGGCTGAGCGTCGCAGTGCGAAGCAGGCGCAGCAGGGAGGCCCACTTCACGGGGAAACCACGCCCCAGCCATCATTTTGGTCCTTGCAAATCCACCCCTCCTTTCTAAGATCCCAGCCCGCCATTCTACAGGCAAATCTGCCGCAGCGTTCCATCCTGCCCTTGCAGCCAGCGCGACATCCGCTGTCGACAACGTCATTTCCGGCGCGCCGACTCCGGCGCATCCGGGGTCTGGCGTAGGAGAGACTGCCTTCTTCCGTGGACTGTGAAGTTGAGTTTGGTACGCTGGAGCCTCGGAGAGGTGAGTAGGGCTTGCCACGAGGGGACTCAGGGGCAGTGGGAGTAGGGCTCCGGCTCAGGGAAGGCGAGCCTCGGCCCAAGCCGATGTAGGGGTGGGGAGGGGATTCCATTTCGCAGACAGCTCTGTCGAGGCACGGAGAAGGGCGGTGCTGGTTGGGGTCAGTCAAGAACCTGAGCCTCCTTCGCCAAACCTAGACAGCAAGAGAGAGACAAGCCCGAGGCCTGGCTTCTAGCGCTCCTGAGTTTGAGCCCTATAAGCAGTGGAACCTAGGGTAAGTTACTAACTTCTCTGAACCTCCCTTTTCTTACCTGAAGCATGAAAATTAATGGTAACTGCCTTGTAAAAGTGTCTTGATGCACACAGTTGATAATAGGGCTCAAGCGACCATCATGTACCTAGCTTCTACTGATGAGGACTTCATAATTTGTGGCTACTCAGGGCTTATCACCACTCCCTGTGTCCACGGAGACATTGGTATTATTTAACCTTATATATCTGAGATTCCCCACCTCTTCTGAGACCCTTTCCTTTGTATACATTCCTGGAAGAGGTTGGGACCAGCTGCACCCAACCAGGGCACCAGTGACTAGAAGGCAAGGATAACGTTTTGCCAGAGTTGACCAGAGTTTGACACTGGCCTGTGGAAGTAGGGAATTCCTTATGCCTTAAGGCCGCTTTCAGGAAGACCAGAATCACAATTGCTGTCACCTATTGAATGTATTATTGTGTAGTGCACCAGGCTTGGCACTTCGTGTGCATTTAATACTCATACACTGAGTATCTGGTAGAGTTGAATTTGAAGTTAGGCTTTGATTTTAGCATGCCTGATTTTGCAATCACTTTAAGTTTACTCCCTAGTCCAATAATAGTAATGATTGTGATGTTTGATACTGTCAAGTTGATTGGATTGAAGGATATGAAGTATTGATCCTGGGGTGTGTCTGTGGGGGTGTAGCCAAAGGAGATTAACATTTGAGTCAGTAGTTTGGGAAAAGCAGACCCACGCTTAATCGTGCGGGCATAATCTAATCAGCTGCTAGCACAGCTAGAATATAAGCAGGCAGAAAAATGTAAAGAGGCCTAGCCTCCCAGCCTTCATCTTTCTCCGGTGCTGGATGGTTCCTGCCCTGGAACATCAGACTTCCAGTTCTTCAGTTTTGGAACTCCGGCTGGCTCTCCTTGCTCCTCAGCCAACAGACAGCCTTTTGTAGGACCTTGATGGTGTGAGTTTATCCTTAATACACTCCCATATATATATATTATATATATATGGGAGTTTATGGAGTTTATATATGGAATATATATATGGGAATTAAGAGGGACAGAACTAATGGAATATATATAACTATATATATGGAACAGAATATATAATATTCCATATACATATTCCTATATATATATACATATATATTCCATTAGTTCACTCCCTCTAGAGAACCCTGACTAATACAATGATTAACCTAATCATGGGACTACAGTAGAAGCTATGGTTTCTTGAGCACTTATTTTGAACTCATTGAATTCACCTTATAAGCATTCTCTAAGGTGGGTATAGTAGTTTATCCCAATTTAAGAAAGACAACTGAATCTCATCCCCCAGCTACCATGAGGTAGATTCTTTATTTCAATCCCTGGATATCTGACTATTAAAATAGTGTTCATAATTACTACAGTTTTTTAGCTCATCAGAAGAAATACATGTCTTGCAATGAAAACTAAAAATTATGTTTCATCAAGTAGTGTATTTTAAAAAGCATATTCTAAAAAAGTCACTCTCCTGGACCACCAAGGATCCAGATATAATTCTTACCTCAGTAATAGAAAAAGTAAAGGAATCTGGGATCTAAGAAGATATCCACTCATTTTCTAAAGCAATACTGTATAAAATAACCTACTTAGATATTTTTGTGTGGTTTATGTATGTGTGAATGTGTGTGATATTTGTGATATTGACTAGGACAAGGAAATACATACTTTTAAAGAAACATAGACTGTTGGGACTGGTATTTTTTTCCCGTTTTAGTACTGATTGTTTTCTAAAAATATGTTTTTAATATCTACTTTATTGAACAGTAATGCCAATTTTAATGGACTTTAAATTTGGAGAAAGTTCTGAAGGCAGCAAGGAATAGAGGAATCCTCCTGCTGCTGCCCCCAGGACTTATTATGGACTGTGCCCTTTTTATCTCTTCCTTTAGTGACTGGCCATGTCACTGTCCCACTTGTACCGGGATGGGGAAGACCGCATTGATGATGATGATGATGAACGGGAGAACTTTGAGATCACTGATTGGGATCTCCAGAATGAGTTCAACCCCAACCGACAGCGCCACTGGCAGACCAAGGAAGAAGCCACCTATGGGGTGTGGGCAGAGCGAGACTCAGATGAGGAGAGGCCCAGCTTTGGAGGCAAACGGTATTGCCTGGCATGGGGGCTGCTTCACCTTGCTTTAGGGAAGAGGAGAAAGATGGACAGGGAGTGGAGGGGATCCCCTGATAAGTATACTTCTCACCTGGCCTTATTGAGACTGTTAGTTGTGACATCACCTCAAGAGGTCCAGTTTCCTCTTTAGGCTAGAGTGCTGTTCTTTTACCAAATTATTTTATTTTATTTGTTTTTTTTTGAGATGCAGTTTTACTCTGTCACTCGAGCTGGAGTGCAGTGACGTGATCTTGGCTCGCTGCAACCTCTGCCTCCGGAGTTCAAGTGATTCTTGCACCTCAGCCTCTGGAGTAGCTGGGATTACAGGCACACGCCACCACCTCCAGCTAATTTTTGTATTATTAATAGAGACGCGGTTTTGCCGTGTTGGCCAGGTTGGTCTCAAATTCCTGACCTCAAGTGATCCACCCGCCTTGGCCTCTTAAAGTGCTGAGATTACAGGCATGAGCCACCATCCCTGGCCTCACTGACTTAATTATCAGTGTTTATTGAGTGATTACTATGTATCGGGCCTGTGCTATAGACCCCTACTTGCTTTCCTGGAGCCCAGATTCTAGAAGAGGGAAATAGGCATTAACAACTCAGACAATGAAACTTGTAACTGAGATGTAGGACATGAAGGAGAGCATATTTTAGGGCATTTCACCTATTCTGAGAGGTCAGGGAAGATTTCTCTGGAGAAAAGTGACCCTTAAGCGGTTATGACAGACAGTAGAAGATAACTAGGGTGGTAGAAGAGGTCTGAGTATGCAGAGCCGTCGATAGGAGGCATCACAGCGTCCACAAGGGTATGAAAGGCTTTGGGGGCTGGAGCAGAGAGGGGGGAGGGGAGCATAGTGTGTGTGATAGAGAGGATGTGATGTGGGGCTGGGTTATGTTTTGAGAAGACCCTTTTGCTGGTGTGCTCAATGGGTGTGGAGCCACAGTGGAAGATAGCGTGGTGATGTGAGGAGGCCAAGCCAGTGGTCCCTGCGGAGGTAGTGGAGGCCTGGGCTGGGATAGTGGTGGGTGATGAGGATTCAGGCTGCACATCTTCCCAGCACAGGGTTATATGTGCCCTGGCTAAAACTCACTCCACCAGGGTGTGCCAGGTTGGGGTTTTTTTTCCTCCATGGCCTCACCTGTGGCCTCTAGGCTCCATCCCATTGAGAGTGTGCCTTTTTCCTTCTTTCTTTATTTATTTTTTTGAGATGGAGTCTTGCTTTGTGGCCAGGCCAGAATACAGTGGTGCAAACTTGGCTCACTGCAACTTCCACCTCCTGGTTTCAAGTGATTCTCCTGCCTCAGCCTCCTGAGTCGCTGGAACTACAGGTGCATGCCACCACACCCAGCTAATTTTTGTATTTTTAATAGAGATGGGGTTTCACCGTGTTGGCCAGGATGGTCTCCATCTCTTGACCTTGTGATCCACCCGCCTCAGCCTCCCAAAGGGCTGGGATTACAGGTGCGCGTGAGCCACCCCACCTGACCAAGAGTGTGCCTTTTTCAAAGGAGGCTGGGGTAGAAAGAGTACAGAGATTAGTCCAAGCTCTTCCATCAAGGAAGTCTGAAAGTGGATGACAGATAGATGAGGGATCAAGAATTGCATAAACATAAGATAATAATAACACATCTCTTTACTGCTTACTTGTTCTGGCTATTTCACAAACCTGGATTAATTTTCCCTATGAGAAAGGTACCATTATTATCCCCATTTTACAGATTAAGAGACTGAGACTAATGGTCGTACAGCTAGGCAGAGGCTAAGCTACAACTGGAACCTGAACCTATCTGTCTGACTCCAGAGTTTGGGATCTGGACCACTAAGTTACATTATATATCTTTAGGAAAAAACTCCCTGAATTCTCTTGTTGCCGTGGGGATGTTGAATTACTAAGTTGGTCATTTTACAAAGCATCACTTTATTTGCTATATTCCCAGGGTTTTTTTTTTTTTTTCTTTGAAACACAGTCTCACTCAGTTGCCCAGGCTGGAGTGTGCAGTGGCTCGACTTCAGCTCACTGCAACCTCTATCTCCTGGGTTCAAGTGATTCTCATGCCTCAGTGTTTTGAGTAGCTTGAGATTATAGGCGTGTGCCACCACACCCAGCTAAGTTTTTGTATTTTTATTAGAGACAGGATTTTTGCCATGTTGGCCAGACTGGTCTCAGAATTCCTGGCCTCAAGCCTCCCAGAATGCTGGAATTACAGGTGTGAGCCACTGTGCCCAGCTCCAGGGTCTTTCACTGTAATTTTTTCTTTTTTAAACCACACAGTACAAATATATCAACTTGATTTTATACAAAAAGGAGCTGAGGTTAATGACTTAATGTAAGTGCTTGAAGCAGTCAGAGTTTAAATCAGTATGTTTCATTTTACAGAGTTAATTTCTTATTTCTTAGGAGACTTCAGTGTAATTTTTTTTTTCCTTTTTTTTGGAGACAAGGTCTTGCTCTTTTGCCCAGGCTGGAGTGCAGTGACATGACCAGAGCTCATTGCAGCCTCAACTTCCCTGGGCTCAAGCAATCCTCTCATCTTAGCTTTCCATGTCGTGGGGGCCCCAGGCATGTACAACCACGCCTGGCTAATTTTGTTTATTTTTTGTAGAGACGAAGTCTCACCATGTTGCCCCAGCTGGAAATTTTCACATTCACATAAATTTAATGATACAAGCTTTTTCTAAGTTTGATTAATATAATTGTTACATACTTTACATTTATATGATCTTTCAGTGGGTTTTATTTATTCACGATTATCCATCAAAATTTCTGTTCCTGTTGGATTTCTGTACTTGAAATACTTTTCAAACAAATGCTTTTTATGATAAATTAATTGTTTAAAATGTAGGAAAATTGTATTATCACATCATATTTTGGATTTATAGTCAGCTCTGCATTGAATAATAACTCTTCAGCTGTCGAGGAATTGGTGTGACTACAGGAAGCCAAATCTAGGGTCCTTTTGATTTTTTGATGTATTAAAAAAAAGTGTTACTTTTTTAAAAAACCTTCCATGAGGTTCACTCTAAGGAGTTCTCAAGCATGTAGTTTCTGCAGAGAAAGGAGTTCTTTACATGCCCCGTGGGGTCTGTTTCTGTGCTTGCAGGGCCCGTGACTACTCTGCGCCAGTGAACTTTATCAGCGCGGGGCTCAAGAAAGGGGCGGCGGAGGAGGCAGAGTTGGAAGATTCTGATGACGAAGAGACACCTGTGAAGCAGGATGACTTTCCTAAGGATTTTGGACCCAAGAAGTTAAAAACGGTAGCGTTTCTATTGCAGGATTGTGACCCTAGTAATACCCTTCAAAGGTCATTGTGGCCCAAGCATTTTCTAGCCAGGGAGTTCATCTGGAACACAGTTTGTTTGAGTGTCTCCTTTTGGTGGCAGGTTTCTGTGAGATCTGAAGTGTGTAGTGCAGTCTCTTCCTTCCTGGCACGTACCAAACACATTTCTGGTTCATGTGACACTCTTATATAGCACTCTATAACTTAGGCCATTTTCCTGTTGACCAAGCTTCTTAGATTTTTCTTCTTTTTGTTTTTTTTCCATCTACTTTTATTTTTCTTTGCAGGGTGGCAATTTTAAGCCCAGCCAGAAAGGTTTTGCAGGAGGAACCAAATCTTTCATGGACTTTGGCAGCTGGGAAAGACACACAAAAGGAATTGGACAGAAGCTTCTTCAGAAGATGGGCTACGTCCCTGGACGGGGCCTCGGGAAGAATGCACAAGGTATTGCACCCTTGTCATCTTGCATGATGGAGGCCAGGCAGAGGGAAGGAGAGGGGCACTGAGAGAGGTGGTTTTCTTTTCCCTTTTAAAAGCACTTTCTCTTTCCAGCCAAATGTTTGCCAGCACAAGACATGTACGCTCCTAAGCTCCCTTGCTTTATCAAAGCTCAAGTTAAATAAAATAATTGTTTCAACAGGAAGAAAAGGGTTAGGGTCTAAAACAGGCTGCAAACAGATTGAAGACAGACTTTTTTTTGGTCCTGATCAGTGATTCTATCAACAAAAATGAGGCTGGGCATGGTGGCACACACCTGTAATCCCAGCACTTTGGGAGGCTGAGGCAGGTGGAATGCTTGAGGTCAGGAGTTCAAGACCAGCCGGACCAACATTGTGAAACCCCATTTCTACTAAAATGACAAATATCAGCCAGGTGTGGTGGCACGTTCCTGTAATCCCAGCTACTCGGGAGGCTGAGACAGGAGAATCACTTGAACCCAGATGGTGGAGGTTGCAGTGAACTGAGTTCATGCCACTGCACTCCAGCCCAGGCGGTAACAGCGAGACTCTGTCTCAAAAAAAAAAAAAAAAAGAATAAAAAAAATGAGTTAGCTGCTAGTATTTTAAAATGAGACAGTTTCACCTTAAATTCTAGATTTTGCCTGACAGGAGTCAGTTGAGGCAAATCAGAGCTGCTCCTGGGACAATGGACGTGGTCTTCTCTAGGACGCAGTCTCCACAGCTCCCTGCAGTCTTCCATCCCAACCCAGGTGAACTTTTCTCGGTCCCAAAGGCATTTGACTTTGTCATCCGTACTCATAAGGGTTTTAGTTTTGCAGAAATGGTTGTTTGTCCTTCAGGAATATCCATCAAACATTGTGTGTAGCTTTTTTAATAGCTAGAGCCATGTGGATGTAAAACTGGCTGAGCAAATCCTGCACTGGTTACTTCCATCTTCGTCTAGAAGATAACACAGTCTTACCTTGTGGAGACCAAAGCCACTAAAACCAAACAGTTGGATTCTTCCCACAGGAATATTCCTTCCTCTTCTTGAGCTATTTCCTATGTGTGAACGCCAAGTAGATATAATCAAATGTATTCTCTAGATGGAATTTCACTTGTTGTCCAGACTGGAGTGAAATGGTACAATCTCGGCTCACTTACAACCTCCACCCCCCAGGTTCAGGTGACTCACCTGCCTCACCCTTCCAAGTAGCAGGAATTACATGTGCCTGCCACCACACCCAGCTAATTTTTGTATTTTTGGTAGAGACGGGGTTTTACTGTCTTGGCCAGGCTGGTCTCGAACTCCTGACCTCAGGTGATCCACCTGCCTCGACCTCTCAGTGCTGGGATCATGGTCTTGAGACACTCCCGCCCGGCCTCTAAATAATTATTAAAGTGAAATCCAGGTTATGTGTTGAAAACATTAGGTACGTGAAAAATACATGAACTTCAGTAAAGATACACGGAATGAGAATGAGAGGGGACAGTTTTTTGTTTGTTTGTTACATAGTCTCACTCTGTCTGTTACCTAGGCTGGAGTGCAATGGCATGGCACCATCATAGCTCACTGCATCCTCAACCTCCTGGGCTCAACCGCCTGGCCCTGAGACAGTTCCTAATTGAGACTTCAGCAGTACTAAATGGAAGGGAGGCAGGGATGGAAAATTTGGAGTGTGGGGAATATCTTCATTTAAATGTTGCGGTCCTGGTTGTAAACTCTTACAAGAAAAGCACAACATTTATTTCTAGGGCTTAAACTTGTTATAAAAAAGTTAAAAAAAAGGCCGGGTGCAGTGGCTCACGCCTGTAATCCCAGCACTTTGGGAGGCTGGGTGGATCACGAGGTCAAGATATTGAGACCATCCTGGTCAACATGGTGAAACCCCGTCTCTACTAAAAATACAAAAAATTAGCTGGGCATGGTGGTGCGTGCCTGTAATCCCAGCTACTCAGGAGGCTGAGGCAGGAGAATTGCCTGAACCCAGGAGGCGGAGGTTGCGGTGAGTCGAGATCGCGCCACTGTGCTCCAGCCTGGGTAACTAGAGCGAAATTCCATCTCAGAAAAAAAAAAAAAAAAAAAAGTTAAAAACAAAACTAAAAAAGTTAAACATAGGAGATACGAACTACTAAGTAAAATATGTGAGGAGTCTTATATTGCAGCTTCACTTCAGTCAGAATCAATTTAGTATCTGAATTATTGCATTTTCCCTAATAGAGGCTTCCTAATAAGTGAAGTACAGAATTTAGTATGCTGGAGTTCTCAGTTACAAATGTAGTGTTTTCTTCCTGTTCACTAAAACAATCCAAGTGGAGCAGGGCGTGGCGGCTCACACCTGTAATCCCAGCACTTTGGGAGGCCGAGGTGGGTGGATCACCTGAGGCCTGGAGTTTGAGACCAGCCTGACCAACATGGTGAAACCCTGTCTCTACTAAAAATACAAAAATAGCTGGGTGTGGTGACATGTACCTGTAATCCCAGCTACTTAGGAGGCTGAGGCAGGAGAATTTCTTGAACCCGGGAGGCAGTGAGCCAAGATCATGCCACAGCACTCCAGCCCGGGTGACAGAGCAAGACTCCATCTAAAAAAAGAAAAAAACAATCCAAGTGGAAATGGAAAACTATTTGGGATATAAATAGTCAGCAGACTGTTCTGTGGTAGCATAAATGCTCAGAAGTTTCAAATCACAAGGACATGAGTAGTGTTTTGAGGGCAGAGAAGAGCTCTTCTTCCTGAGTAGTATGTTATTTTGTGGAATGAGCAAGAAACTCATTTCACTGAGTGGCTGACAGACATACATGAAGACTCTTTTTATCTTTTGCTGAAATTAATCAGGTATCATTAACCCAATCGAAGCCAAGCAGAGAAAAGGAAAAGGTGCCGTGGGGGCTTATGGATCCGAGCGTACCACGCAGTCCGTGCAAGACTTCCCTGTGGTTGACTCAGAAGAAGAAGCTGAAGAGGTAACTGGAAGTCAGGGGATATGGGTGGGTGGTGTCCTGTGCCATTTCTAATGGCTGTTCATTCATCCCTTCATTCTGTTAGTCCTCATATATTTATTGTATATTTACTGTATGCTAGGTACTGGGCTGAAGGCTAGGGGCACCACGATGAAAGTGTAAGGCGGACAGAGCATAAACAGGCAGCTGTGTGTGGAAGTGGCAGCTGAAATGGCAGAAGGTGCTAAGGGCTGCCTCGATTGAAAATAAGCTTGGAGGTTGGAAGGTGGTGTTGACCTACTTTTATAAATAGGCTGGTCAGGGAAACCTTTCAAGAAAGGGAACATTTCAGTTGAGACTTGGCGGAAGGGTGAGCTGAGAAGCCAGAGGACACTGAGGCTCTGAGCTTGGTGGTTAAACCAAAAAGGAAGCCCTTGTGGCAGGTACACAAAGCAGAGGGGAAGTGCCTTCAGAGGGGTGGGCGGGCCAACAGACAGGCCATGACAGCCAGTTTTAGGTGCTCGGGTTTCAGCCCAAGTGCAGCAGGGAGCCATCTACTGGCAGCTGTGTGTCCCTTTTCCCCAGTGATAGAAGGGGCCAACTCTGTTGATTGAAGAATTACTCTTTTCCCATGTGAATTTATGGGGAAAGCAGGATGCTGCAAAGAAACATGTTACTCTTCATGTTACTGACCTTTTGATGAAAGAGTCATTTGATAATGGAGGATTAACCACTCTTGAGTCAGGGATTCTCAGAAGTTTACAAGTGCCAGGCACACCACAGAAGCAAATAAGATGAGCCAGGTGCCAGACAACAAGGAGTGGTGGGGACTGGGGCACAGAGGTGAGGCTGTAGCCTGTCTAGAAGGTAAATCTTTATTCGACTCTAGGTTATTGTTGCTTATGAGTATGTGGGCTCAGTATTGCCTGATCCTCTAATTTTCCCAAAGTAGCCAGATGTGTAGATACTTGAAGAGAAAAAGTGACAAGTCTTAACCAGTATGAGAAAACATCATGACAACCCCAAAACCAACTTCCGTGGGCTGGACTCTACTCCCGTCAGACTAAGAAAGTTTACAGGTTTGTTTTGGGCTGTAAACCCGAAGCCTGGGCTTCGGGTTGGATAAGCTTGCCTAAGCTCCTCCTGTAGAAAGGTTTCGCAGAGCCGGGCACGGTGGCTCAAGCCTGTAATCCCAGCACTTTGGGAGGCCAAGGCGGGTGGATCACGAGGTCAAGAGATTGAGACCATCCTGGTCAACATGGTGAAACCCCGTCTCTACTAAAAATACAAAAAATTAGCGGGGCACGGTGGCGCGTGCCTGTAATCCCAGCTACTCAGGAGGCTGAAGCAGGAGAATTGCCTGTTCCCAGGAGGCGGAGGTTGTGGTGAGCCGAGATCACGCCATTGCACTTCAGCCTGGGTAACAAGAGTGAAACTCTATCTCAAAAAAAAAAAAGAAGAAGAAGAAAAAAAGAAAGGTTTCGCAGAGCTCCTTAAGAGATACCTTTGCTTTTGAGAGTTAGGGCTTGCTTCTTTATCTTCATTTTAAAGTTAGAAACAAGGTTTTACGTACTTTAACAAATCCCTTACGTTGCATTTCTAAGTTTTACATGAGGTACATTTAAAACTAGCATAGTGCCTGCCCATTAAAACTAGCATAGATGCTGCATACATGTCGTTTCCTTGATTTTTATCTCTCCCACCCATCTGGTGCACCTGCCTTCTGAACCTCATTATTTGTAAGAGGGTGAGTGGGATCAAGGAGCGTCATTAGATAGTTTTGGTGTCGTGCAGGTGTGTCCTTTCCTTCCTTCATACAGAACCTGTAGGTAAATCTAGTGACATCTGTTAATGGTCTCAGTTACTCCGCCTGTTGTAAAAAGTGTTCATTCCTTGCTTCATCTGACCGCATCCTTTTGGTTCAGGAGTTTCAGAAGGAGCTGAGCCAGTGGAGGAAAGACCCAAGTGGAAGCAAGAAGAAGCCCAAATACTCTTACAAGACCGTGGAAGAGCTGAAGGCCAAGGGCAGGATTAGCAAGAAGCTCACTGCTCCCCAGAAGGAGCTCTCTCAAGTCAAGGTATGGGGGCCCTTGGACACCTGGTACAGGATCCACACCCCAGAATTAATCGCTGAACATTTTCTAAGGTTTCTTGGTTCTTCTAGCTAAGCTTTATTTTTTGGTACCTTGTTTTCTCACTCACTTATGGGAGTGTAATGAAAAGGAGCATGCTCACATAGTATTAATACCATTTTCCCATTCATTACACTCCCATATTTAGTAATGAATATCAAGTTCCTTCTCTCCCAGGCACTCTTCACAGTGCTACAGTGGTAAACCAGATGATGTTCCTGTGTTTCTGGAGCTTATTTACATCAGTGAATTGTTACTCTTATTATTAAAAACTCAGTTTTTAATATGTAATATTGTTGTTACATCCTTGTTATTAAAAACTCAGTGCAAGCCAGGCACGGTGGCTCACTCCTGTAATCCCAGCACTTTGGCAGTCTAAGGCAGGTGGATCACGAGGTCAGGGGTTCGAGACCAGCCTGACAAACATGGTAAAACCCAGTCTCTATAAAAAATAAAAAAATAACACAGTGCAAAGTGTTTATAATGAGTGCATAATTCCAGAGAGCGATTGTACCGTATTACTTGATCCTACCTCCGTTGTTAGATGTTTAGCTTTTTTCTGGTTTAGTTTGGGTTTTTGGCAGGTTAATTTGTGTGTAAAACTTTATCTTCGTTTCAGACATTTCTAAGGCTAGACGTGTACATGTGCAATCACCAGGTCAAATACAAAAGTACTTAAGGCATTTAAATACTCAGAAGGTTGTATTAACTCTCTGTGACCAGGAGGTCAGGAGAGAGTCTCCAAGACTCCTTAGCCAGCATTGAATATTTTTTTTTTTAAGATATATTAAATTTCAGTCACTGTACATGCATATAGAGTATTAAGTTTTCCATTACGTTTCCAAGCAGTCAAAGAACAGTGGTGACAGTTGCCTGCTGTCATTTGCTGTGGGACATATAGTGTGATAGACGTCCAAGTGTGGTCCTCAGATGTGTGCTGTTACCCTGTCTGGACAACCTGGTGAGAAATAGGGTGTGTGGGCGCCTCCCAGGAACTTTGAGTCTAGGCTGGACCTCAGGGCTCCTTTCTTCCTCCAGTGATTCTAATGCTGCCGGTTCATGGATCACACTCGTACTTAAAAAGTGGTGATGGATCTTGCCGTGTCAGAAGTGTAGTCCACATTCAGATTTCTCGTTGTCCTTAAGTATTGGAATTAGCTCATTACCTAGGTTGCCTTTGTTCAATTAGCTTTTTGTATGTTTTGTTTTAAAACGTAAAAAACAACTTTGTTATTACAATAGCAGTGTGTAGCACATTTTAGAAAATCAGGAAATAGGCAAAAATACCAAAAACATTTTCCATCCTCCTAAGATTACCGGATGTTAAGGTCTTGTTGTACAGCCTAGATCTTTGTCTGTGGTTATATGCATTTTTTAAAAACCAAAATGTGATATTCTGATTATACGTGACCTCCTTTGATCAGGACAACTTCTACTTTTCCATTAAAATATATTTTCACATCTCTTAATACTCAGTTCCTATTTAAATTTCATGTTTTCCTAAAAAAGTCTTTCCTGTTTTTTTTTTTTGAGACGGAGTTTCGCTCTTGTTACCCAGGCTGGAGTGCAATGGCACGATCTCGGCTCACCGCAACCTCCGCCTCCTGGGTTCAGGCAATTCTCCTGCCTCAGCCTCCTGAGTAGCTGGGATTACAGGCACGCACCACTATGCCCAGCTAATTTTTTGTATTTTTAGTAGAGACGGGGTTTCACCATGTTGACCAGGATGGTCTCGATCTCTTGACTTCGTGATCCACTTGCCTCGGCCTCCCAAAGTGCTGGGATTACAGGCGTGAGCCACCGTGCCCGGCCAAAAAAGTCTTTTCCATCTATCTGGCTTGTTCAAAGTGATCCAATCTAGAACTGCTTGCTGCATGTGATTTTGTCCCTGGAAGTCTCCTTTAGGCTAGGACAGTGTGGATCCCACTTTACGAAACAGTGCTCTTCTCTTGCTCTGTTGAATAATGTGGTCTTTACACACTTCCCCTGGGCTCAGCTTTGTATTTCACAGGGCTGCAGTGGTGTTAACCTTCGTCCCTTTACATTTTCCAAGGTCATAGACATGACAGGCCGGGAGCAGAAGGTCTATTACAGCTACAGTCAGATCAGCCACAAGCACAACGTTCCTGATGATGGGCTGCCGCTGCAGTCCCAACAGCTGCCACAGTCTGGCAAAGAGGCCAAGGCCCCGGGCTTCGCGCTGCCCGAGCTGGAGCACAACCTGCAGCTGCTCATTGACCTCACCGAGCAGGAGATCATCCAGAATGACCGGCAGCTACAGTATGAGCGGGACATGGTGGTCAACCTCTTCCATGAGCTGGAGAAGATGACTGAGGTCCTGGACCATGAGGAGCGTGTCATCTCCAACCTCAGCAAGGTCTTGGAGATGGTGGAGGAGTGCGAGCGGCGGATGCAGCCCGACTGCAGCAACCCCCTCACCCTGGACGAGTGCGCCCGCATCTTTGAAACCCTGCAGGACAAGTACTATGAGGAGTACAGGATGTCTGACCGTGTGGACCTTGCCGTGGCTATCGTCTATCCACTCATGAAGGAGTACTTCAAGGAGTGGGATCCCCTCAAAGTGAGTTGTTGGGAAAATCAACCTCTCCCTGCCTCTCGGTTGGGCTTGCCCTTGCATGATGAGATGGTCTGGTGGGCAGGGAGGGCTGGAGAGCCCGCTGCCCCTCATCTGCTCCAGCTCTCTCCCCAGGACTGCACTTACGGCACCGAGATCATCTCCAAATGGAAAAGCCTCCTAGAGAATGACCAGCTCTTGTCCCATGGCGGACAGGACCTCTCCGCAGATGCCTTTCACAGGTACTGCAGGGCAGGGCTCTGCACTCCAGCTCCTTTCTCCTGGGGGTTGGGAAGGATTGCTGCTGGCCTTATTAATTCTCTGCTCATGCTGACACTGTTTAGGAATTTACATTCATTTGGCCATGAAATCATTTTTTTTTAATTTTTTTATTTCCATAGGTTATTGGGGAACAGGTGGTATAAGGTTACATGAGTAAGTTCTTTAGTGGAGATTCGTGAGGTTTTGGTGCACCCATCACCCGAGCACTGTACACTGAACCCAGTTTGTGGTCTTTTATCCCTCACCCCCTTCCCACCCTTTCCCCGAGTCCCCGGAGTCCACTGTGTCATTCTTATGCCTTTGCATCCTCATAGCTTAGCTCCCACTTAAGAGTGAGAACATATGATGTTTGGTTTTCCATTCCTGAGTTACTTCTTCACTTAGAGTAATAGTCTCCAGTCCTATCCAGGTTGCTGTGAATGCCATTGTTTCCTTTTTATGGCTGAGTAGTATTCCACTATATATACACATACACACATCTGTACATGTGTATGTGTATATATAGGTGCATAGATACTTGTCTGAGCAGGTATCTTTTTCATATAATGACTTTTTTGAGATGGAGTCTCGTTCTGTCACCAGCCTGGAGGGCAGTGGTGCTATCTCAGCTCACTGCAACTTCTGCCTCCTGGGTTCAAGAGATTTTCCTGCCTTAGCCTCCCGAGTAGCTGCGACTGCAGGGGCACACCACCACGCCCAGCTAATTTTTGTGTTTTTAGTAGAGACAGGGTTTCACCATATTGGCCAGGGTGGTCTCTATCTTTTGACATCATGATCTGCCCATCTCAGCCTCCCAAAGTGCTAGGATTACAGGTGTGAGCCACCACACCCAGCCATGACTTCTTTTCCTCTGGGTAGATACCCAGTAGTGGGATTGCTGGATCAAATGGTGGAAGTACTTTTAGTCCTTTAAGTAATCTCCACACTGTTTTCCATAGTGGTTACACTATTACATATGGCCATGAATTCAGCTGACGCTTGTCAAATATTTGTTGAGTATCATGCTTGTGTTAGGTGCTGGGCTTACCTTAGGAGTACAGCAGACAGCCTTTCTACAGCACAGCAGAAAAGGCAGATGGGAAATAAGGTAGTGAGCAAATAAAGGCGGGATGCACACCAGGTACTACAGTAGAGAATTGCAGAAGTGACCTACTTGAGATGGGGATTGGGACAGTGGTCTTAGAGGAGGTGACATTGAAGCTGTGATATTAGAGGGTGAGGAGTGAGCTGATGGACAGAAGTCTATAGGTGGGAAAGCACTTGATACCTGGGAAGAGGCCCTTGTGACCCTAAGGCAGCTCTGCCAGGTGGGCGGGCACTACTTAGGAGACTGAGGTCTCAGGTTGAGAGGACAGTCACAAAAACAAGGAAGAGGCAGCCTCAGGTCTGGCCAGTATAGTAACTGGCCTGACGGTTTCCTTTCATTGGATTTCCATGCTGTTGCATTTTTGTTTCTGATTCTAGAGAGGCAGGTGGTGGTGGTGTACTTGAAAACAATCAGTGTAATTAACTAGCCCGTCCTCTGCCTTTCTCCCATAGGTTGATATGGGAAGTCTGGATGCCTTTTGTTCGAAATATTGTCACCCAGTGGCAGCCAAGAAACTGTGACCCGATGGTGGACTTTCTCGATAGTTGGGTGCACATTATTCCTGTGTGGATCTTAGATAACATACTGGACCAACTCATCTTCCCCAAGCTGCAGAAGGAGGTGGGGTGAGAGTCATGGGAAACAGCTGTCGTCACTAACCACAGGGACAGTCTATGTCTTATCTCAGTGCTGTTAAAATGCCTGGAATTAACAGAATTTGTCAACCCAGCTATTGATCTATAGTGTTAATTTCAGCCTTTTTCTCAGCACTTTTTCCCCCAAGCCACCCTCAGGAAAGAATTCATTTTCTTGATTTATTCACTAAAATTAGAATTGTGCTATTTCTGAGATGTAATACAAATGAATGGGCATACTTGTTTGGCAACGTACAAAGGACTGTAGACCTTGTCTAGAAGAGCATGAGGCCTGCTCCTCCAAGGGCAGCTCTTGCCTTTAACTAAGGGATGCATGTGACTGCCCCGCAGGCAGCATGAACTGTTTCTTCTCCCTGCTTTGCAGGTGGAAAACTGGAACCCACTCACAGACACCGTTCCCATCCACTCTTGGATCCACCCGTGGCTGCCCCTCATGCAGGCACGGCTGGAGCCGCTGTATTCCCCCATCCGTAGCAAGCTGTCCAGCGCCCTGCAGAAGTGGCACCCCAGTGACTCCTCTGCCAAGCTCATCCTCCAGCCCTGGAAGGATGTCTTCACTCCTGGCTCCTGGGAAGCATTCATGGTCAAAAACATAGTGCCCAAGCTGGGTAAGGATTTGGGGAAAATACATTCCACATCCAGCAGCTTTGGTACCCTGGTTTCTGTGGTCAGCAGTGATAATTTAAAACATAGCCTTTGCGTTTGTGAAAGTGCTTAGCACACAGTATTCCTCACTGTGAAAAGCTACCCTTTTGTGCAGAGGCTGAACATAAAGTGTAACTTGGGTCCTTTCTACTGTTTATTTACAACAGTGACTAATAGTCAACAGTGATAATATTGGACTCTGTGCCTTGTGGCTTTCCTGCTTGGCTTTGGCTTCTGGTAACAGGACAGCCATTGGAGTTCTGAAATTTTCGTTGTATTTTACTCAGGTTATGGGAGTTATTTCTGGGTTAGCAAAAAAGAAAAATTATTTAAGAATTGCTATGTTAAGAGCTTAAATTTTACCTTTAAAAGCAGGTTAAAGCCTGAGCAACATGGTGCAACCCCATCTTTACCAAAAACACAAAAACTAGCCAGGCATGGTGGCATGCGCCTGTGGTCCCAGCTACTAGGGGAGGCTGAGGCAGGAGGATGGCTTGAACCCAGGAGGCGGAGGTTACAGTGAGCCGTGATTGCCACTGTACTCCAGCCAGGGTGACAGTGAGACCCTGTCTTGAAAAAAAAAAAAGCCAGGAGCCATGACTCATACCTGTAATCCCAGCACTTTAGGAGGCTAAGGTGGGCAGATCACCTGAGGCCGAGAGTTTGAGACTAGCCTGGACAACATGTCAAAACTCTATCTTTAATAAAAATACAAAAAGCCAGCCACAGTGTGCACACCTGAACTCCCAGTTACCCAGAAGGCCGAGGCACAACAGTCACTTGAACCTGGGAGGCGGAGGTTGCTGTGAGCTGAGATGAGAACGGACATTGTCTTTGCTCTCTGTGCTTCTGTGGCTTTGCTGGTACTAAAGCTGTGCCTTACAGACCGGGTTTCTCTTCCAGGGATGTGTCTTGGTGAGCTAGTCATTAACCCCCACCAACAGCACATGGATGCTTTCTACTGGGTGATCGACTGGGAAGGGATGATCTCTGTCTCTAGCCTGGTGGGACTTCTTGAAAAGCACTTCTTCCCCAAGTGGCTGCAGGTACACTTTGTTTTGCTTGGTTTTCTTGGGGAGGGAACTGAGAGGGGATTAAGTCAATTTTCTGCCAAGGCCTGGCTGCAGGTACAATTCCATAATGAAAATAAATTGCATGGTAGGGTGGGAATGAGTTAGGTCATCTTAATAGTGGGTACCATTTATTTATTGGACATTTGTCATGTAGCAGAGGCTGTTCCAAGCACTTCATTTGCTTTATCCTGGCTCCTCTCAGCACCCCTGTGGGGTAGGCTTTGATATCCCTGTTCCATGTGTAGACATGGAAGCCTGGGCTGAGAGAGTTTACAGCACGGGCCCTTTAGCCACCAGGCTGACTCCAAATCCATATTCATAAGTGCTACGCTGTTTCGCTACTATAAATCCCTGTAGAATGGTGTCACTGGGCTGTAGAAGCAGGACCAAAACAAAACAAATGGCCCCTTCGGAAATGTTGCCTTCATTGGTTGCCATCATGGATGCAAGTAATTTTTCTTTTTGGCAGGTGCTGTGCTCCTGGCTCAGTAACAGCCCAAATTATGAGGAGATCACCAAGTGGTACCTGGGTTGGAAGTCTATGTTCTCAGACCAAGTGCTGGCACATCCATCTGTCAAGGACAAGTTTAACGAAGCACTTGATATCATGAACCGGGCGGTGTCCTCCAACGTTGGTAAGTGAGGATTCCCATTCTGGATGTCCTGGCCCCGAGTTTCAGATTTTACACATAGAAATGACACAGAATCAGTTTTCTGGTTCCAGTAGGCAGCCTAAACCTTAGGTCACACTTCTGCACAGTGACAGACTCTCACCGTGCTGATTGGGATACATGGTCAGCTGGCACCCACTGCCAGGTCTACCATGACTGAGAGGGGCATCTTCCTGAGTGGAGACTGACTTAAGCTGTCAGCTGCTGTCAGTCTAACCCCAGGGCCTGCCCTCTTTTTTTTTTGAGACGGAGTTTCACTGTTGTTACCCAGGCTGGAGTGCAGTGGCGCGATCTCAGCTCACCGCAACCTCTGCCTCCTAGGTTCAGTCAATTCTCCTGCCTCAGCCTCCTGAGTAGCTGGGATTACAGGCACGCGCCACCGTGCCCAGCTCATTTTTTGTATCAGGGCCTGCCCTCTTAACCACTGTGCTGTGTGGCCCCTTAAGGCACATCCACGCTTCTGCTCAGCCAGCCCTGAGCATGCTGTGCATATGGCACATCTTACAGTGAGGAGCTGGGCACATGGATGGACACTTGGTGACTGCTCAGCCCTTATCAACCCCATTTTACCTGTAAAACAGTAAGATCTACTGCATAGGCTAAAAGGGGGATTGTGTTCATGCTTGTGTGTAGCCTTCAATAGGTGGTGTCTGTGTTGTCAAAAACAGACAGTTCACTGTTCATGTACTGTATCTCTTCCCAAGTTCTAGGGAAGCCATTCTGCCTAGATCGTAAGTAAATGAAAGTATGTTTGTATTTCTACATCTGGGAGCCTATTTCAGCCAGTTCTGTGCTCCAGTATTGCTCATTAGCCAATTCACAGCATTGAAATGGGATCACCTAATCAGTTTTACAGATAAGCCTAGGGAGGCGAAGAGCCTGTTCAAGGTCACATAGTTAAAGAGTGGCAGTTAGAACTGGAATTTCTATTTCCTGGGTCTTTAGTTCTTGTTATTTAATAGTTAGCATATTCTGTGAAAACACAGATAAAGTATACTTCTCTGCTTCTGTAATTATCAAGGTCTTTCTAAAATCTCTTCCTTAGCTACTCCTGGCCTCATGTTTCCAAAACTGTTCCATGCATACCTCTCAGCACTTAGCACTTGTATTACCCTTAAACACCCGTCTCAGCTCCCCAAAAACATGTGTCTTTCAGGATGGAGGACCTGTATGGGTAGGTTAAAATAAGGCGAGTATGGGCCATGTTTTTCGAGGTACTAAAAGCTGCCTCTTTTGTGGTGTGAAGTGGAAACTGCAGAGCAGGGTAGAAGGGTGGGTGGGGACTCTGTTAATGTTTCCAGCTTTTTTTTTTTTTTTTTTGAGATGGAGTCTTGCCCTGTTGCCCAGGCTGGAGTGCAGTAGCATGATCTCGGCTGACTGCACCCTCCACCTCCCATGTTCAAGTGATTCTCCTGCCTCAGCCTCCCACGCAGCTGGGATTACAGGCATGCGCCACCACGCCTGGCTAATTTTTTGTATTTTTAGTAGAGATGGGATCTCATCATGTAAGCCAGGCTGGTCTCGAACTCCTGACCTTGTGATCTGCCCACTTTGGCATCCCGAAGTGTAGGGATTACAGGTCTGAGCCAATGTGCCCGGCCGTGTCCATCTCTCAAAGAAGAAATCCCTTGCAGATACTTCATTTTAAAATGAGTATTTAATAATCTCTTTGGTTTCTAGCTACTAGCTGGAAACTTTCCAAGCAGTTTTTATGTGATAATGGCCAGTTGTCTAAACTCCCTCCAGAGTTCTATCTTTGAGGCAGAGCTGCCCTTCAGTGAGTCACAAGCACTCAGGCACACCCAGACCTGGGCCAAGTCAGAGTCAACTTCCATATACTTGGAAACACCTGTCCTCACTGCCCTATCTTCTGTATCTCAGGGGCCTACATGCAGCCAGGAGCACGGGAGAACATTGCCTATCTCACCCACACGGAGCGGAGGAAGGACTTCCAGTACGAGGCCATGCAGGAGAGGCGGGAGGCCGAGAACATGGCCCAGAGGGGCATTGGTGTGGCCACCAGCTCTGTGCCCATGAACTTTAAGGACCTCATTGAGACCAAGGCCGAGGAGCACAACATTGTCTTCATGCCCATCATTGGGAAGCGACACGAAGGGAAGCAGCTCTACACCTTTGGCCGCATTGTGATCTACATCGACCGGGGAGTGGTCTTTGTCCAGGGCGAGAAGACCTGGGTGCCCACCTCACTGCAGAGCCTGATTGATATGGCCAAGTGAACTGTGGCAGGTCCAGAGACTTGCACCTGAGAGGGATGTGTTGTGAATAAACATTTTAGATCACCTTCAAAAGGGTAACGCCTCTATTCCAGAGATACTCCACATCAGGCCAGGTCACAAGGGAAGGATGCAAAATGGGACAATCACTTAGCAGTGCGTGCATCTTTATACCAATTATGTGGGGTATCGTCCTCAAAACAGGAGAGCCAAGTTGATGTGAATTCCTGGCAAAGGAGTTCTCTGTAGTTTCTCCACAGCAGCCTTCCCTTTAGTCTCTACCTTAGCCAACAATGAGTACCTGACAGTGAGTTCAGGTCAGTAGCTGAAGGATCTTCTGTCTTGTTCCTGATGATTTCAAGGTCCTCACAGTCCTGATAATCTGGTTCTTCCCAAAACTCCCAAGCATCTGTGGAGAGCTGTTGTAGCTTTTGTACAGGGAACCAGTGGACAGAGGTATCATTAAACATGTCCATGTACTGTGAAGTCTGAGGAAACTCAAGCTCCTCCAGTCCTTTTAAAATCTGAGCAGAAAAATTCAAGCGTGAAAACTTGGTAGTCACAGTAATTTCCACTCTTTGGGTTAAATGTCCATGTTACTTGTTACCCCACTTTCCTTTTTAAAAAAAATAACGAAGAGGATATTTCCGTTTAAATGCTTTTGCACAATGAATTGGGTGCCCCAAGGACAGTGGATATCATGGACTGTGATACTGAGAATAAAGGAAATAAGGAAAAAAACTAAGAGATGCATTAAGTGTCAAAGCTTTCTGAAACACAGAACCATGGAGAGAGCTCACTGACAGTACACTAGCGTCACTTAGTCCCTGAGCTTCCTCACACGCGTGTAAGGATAGAATTCTTCACCGTTTCACATGCTTTTCCATCCCAGCCCCTTTATTCAGATAGATACCTTTGCAATGTAGGGATAATTTTTCTGCAGAATCCTTGCCAACAACCTAGGAATTAAAAAACAAGAAAAATAAAACAAAAAAACCATGATTAGGAGGTATGAGGATAGTTTCATTCAACTTAAGACATAGAGAAGGGCCAGATGATTGAAGTACAGTAAGAATTCTGGAAAAACTCGAGATGTGGAGTAGGTTAAATAGTTGAAAATGTGGGCCAGGCACGGTAATCCCAGCACTTTGGGAGGCCGAGGCAGGTGGGCCATTCGAGGTCAGGACTTCAAGACCAGCCTAGCCAACATGGTGAGACCCTGTCTCTACTAAAAATATAAAAATTAGCCGGGCACACTAATGTATGCCTATAATCCCAGCTACTCTGGAGGCTGAGGCAAGAGAATTGCTTGAACCCGGGAGACGGGTTGGAATGAGCTGAGATCATACCACTGCACTCCAGGCTGGGGGACAGAGCGAGACTCCCAAAAAAGTAAAATAAAATAAATGAATTAAAATAAATAGAAGCAAATACTCCAGTAATTGTGCCTATTTCATCAAGAGAATGACTGGGCAGACTTCTAAGCACTGTGAAACAATGAGGATATGGGATGTGCAGGCAGAGGAATGAAATAGCTTTCCCTGTTTTCAAAAGCATTTCTGTGTATCATCATGGAAGGGAGGAAATCGTGGCAAAAAGACTCCTTAACTTGCTTCATAGCTTGAATCAGGGTTCTGACATCTCTTATCTTTAACCCTTCAACCAGTTCCCTATGGAAAAGCATTTCCCAGTATGGAACTGTCAAGGAAACGTTTTCTGCTCGTGGGTCCATCTGAGGTACGGGTTTCACTTCAGGGCCTGACATAATCTCAGCATTCTCAGGCTTACCTTTCCTCCAGTCCTTTGAAACTGTTCCCAATAATGACCATCTTAGAAAGGGCATCTACTGACCAGTTACTCCATAAAAGATTGTTGTACAAGGCCGTCCCACAATGGAGCATGTAAAAGATGGTAGCCTCCCCACGAATACTCCGTTTCCCTTCCTGGGGATACAATATTCACAGATGTAAACATGCCCACAACCTATTCTTTACAGCAAGGTGAGGGAGAGATAAGGATGGGGTTAATAATGAGACAGGCTAAAGGATCAAATGGAAAAAATCTCACTTTGATTGTGGAACAGTTACAGGATTAAAAAGTCAGGAAATCATGATGTCCCGAAAGAACTCATGTTTACTTAACAAATGTACAAACACAATGCAGTATTAGAGGGGCTTCCTGGGTTCACACGGCAGGGGCAGGAGGGATGCTGATGTTACTTCTCCGGTATATTTCCCACCATGCTCAGTAGCCCACGTTGCCCGTGTTTCCCACCGTGCTCGGCAGCCCACGTTTCCCGTGTTTCCCACCGTGCTCGGCAGCCCATGTTTCCCATGTTTCCCACCGTGCTCGGTAGCCCATATTTCCCGTGTTTCCCACCGTGCTCGGTAACCCATGTTTCCTGTGTCACTTCCTACAGATCTGCATTCTAACTAAGTCATCTTCCAATGTCCCTGATGCACAGTCACCCCTCCTGGGAATCACGACTCTGCGGCCAAACTCTAGCAGGGAACATAAGGCCCTTTGACCCTTGCCCACCTCTGGCCTGCCTAAACTGGCAGTGGTTTCCTGAACAGCCAGCACTGCACAGCTGCCTGCAATCCTGGTTCTGTCCCACCAGCAAACTCCTGGTGGACCTTCGTCCATCCCTCCAAACACCTCTCTTGTCTCAGTTCCTACTACAAAGTTCTGCCTATTTCATTCCTCATTTACTTGTTTACAGGTCACATGACCTGATTGGAGCACCGGCTCCCAGAACACAGAGACTGGCTCCCATTTACCTTGGTCTTGGCAAAGCTCCCTGCCTAGCATAGAGCAGGCACCCAGAACGATGATCTGAACTGAGTGACAGTGTTTTAAGACCTTGCCAAAATCAGGGAATGACTCTTGTCTCAACTGAGCAAAATTTTCATACATAATAAGCAGTAAGATGGCAGTTTCAGGACACACAGGAATCAAATGACTCTAATCCCTAAGACAATGCAAAACCAAAATCAGAGGGATTTGCTTCTAATGGCCTTGGCCCTGTGCTTGAGAGATGCCTTTCTTTATTCCACAGGTCTCAGAAATGTCAAATCCCAGCTACTTTGTGGGGTGCAAATGTGGGCAGAGAATGAATCCACAATGCACAGCCAGGTGGTATGGGTTTGACTGGGTTATAGCATCAAAGAGGGATGCTGCGTCCCCCTTTATTACCTCCCTGGGACAGGGTAAAATCCAGAAAGACCTCACTTGAGGCACCCAGACTTTTATTTTTCAATAGCAACAGCAAATACCAAGTTAGCATAACTTCCAATCCGAAGTGGTGCAGACCTAATGTGATCTGGTTCATGCTATTTGTGTAGTTTTTTTCTGATGGGCACAACACAAGCCAAAAAGTAGGTAACTGATTGGCTAGTTACATCTCTCAGGCATTGCAAAAGCAAGCGAGCGATAAGAGGAATGGCTACCATTGCCAAGAATGCTCGTGTCCACAGGCAGAGCCTGGGGTCAGTCTGGTCAGGATTTCTATAGTCCGGTCTGCTCCCCTTTAATCCCTTACCTCGTTCTCACTGAGAACAGTCACACCAAGGATGTTAAGTACTTCAATTTCAAGTTGGCTGAACAGAGGGTCATACACCCAACAGTGACTTCTGGGAATCTAGAAGGGAAGAATGAGTTGTTTACTTCCACCCAAACATCTGTGTGCACCCATGCACAAGACCAGAGGAGGAGGAGATGAAAATGAATCCAAAATGTACCTGGCACTTCTCCAACAAAAGCAGCAAAAACGTTAGCTGGTTTCTAGCAATGATGCAGGTGGCAAAGTTCCCAATGCCGTAACACACACACTTCCAACGGCTGGTTCCTGTGCCCGGGGTCTCTCCTGGGATAGAGTCAGGGGCCACATCTGACTCATCTGGCGATGAGTCAAGATGCAGCTTTCCAAAGGTGTCCGAAAGAGTACCCACAGGGGCCTTCAGCTGTTCCAGATGTTTTGTGAGACATTCATTGATGGTTTCTGAAAGAGCAGGCCCCAAGTGCAGTTAGAAGGCATGCTCTGACCCCGTGAGTCAAATCATCCGTAAAAGAAGTTCACAGATTTGGGAAGAAAGAGATCAGGGCAGTAAAAGCTTTTCATTTTTCAGAGAGAAAAGCTGCCAGCCACATTCCCAAACATGCCGGGACATACAGTCACATTCACCAACTGACAGGCTGTCCCAACCCCTGGACTCCCATGGTCCAAAATCCAAGAGAATGTTGTAGCCAGAAGTTGGGTTTCATTCACAGCAGTTTCCATCTAAAACTCGAATGTGAACTCATTCTAATTTAACAAGAGGCTCCTGGTAAATGTAGATTATGCTCTGAAATTCATACTTTTAAAGTTGTAACAGGCTGGGTGCGGTGGCTCACACCTGTAATTCCAGCACTTTGGGAGGCTGAGATGGATCACCTGAGGTCAGGTCTTCAAGACCAGGCTGGCCAACACGGCAAAACCCTATCCCTACTAAAAATACAAAAAATTAGCCGGGCGTAGTGGCGCATGCCTGTAGTCCCAGCTACTGGTGAGGCTGAGGCAGAACTGCCTGAACCCCAGAGGTAGAGGTTGCAGTGAGCTGAGATCGCGCCACTGCACTCCAGCCTGGGCAACAGAGCAAGACTCCATCTTTAAAATAAAATAGGCTGGGCGCGGCGACTCACGCCTGTAATCCTAGCACTTTAACTTTAGGAGGCCAAGGTGGGCGGATCATCTGAGGTCCAGAGTTTGAGACCAGCCTGACCAACATGGAGAAACCCCATCTCTACTAAAAATACAAAATTAGCTGGGCTTCGTGGCGCATGCCTCTAATCCCGCTATTCAGGAGGCTGAGGCAGGAGAATCGCTTGAACCCGGGAGGCAGAGTTTGTGGTGAGCCAAGATCACACCATTGCACTCCAACCTGGGCAATAAGAGCGAAACTCAGTCTCAAAATAAAGTTATAACAAAGAATGGAGTATACCTCTCAAAATCACACCATAAATGGCTAAAAGTAGGAACACTGAATGTGTAAAGAGTTTAAAGAAAAGGTGCATTGAGGCTTCAAGAGCCTAATGAAAAATACTCTGTTTAAGTCTTCTCATGTAGAGGTAGGTTCTCTTTCTTGTCTCTCCTTTTATTGTTCTGGTACTGAATTTAGCAAAACAAAAAAGCCCGTGCATTCCAAAAAATAAGATACCAATTTTTCCCTTAAGAAACCAGCAAAGGGCCAGGCACAGTGGCTCACACCTGTAATCTAGCACTCTGGGAGGCCGGGGTGGGGTGATCACTTGAGGTCAGGAGTTCGAGACCAGTCTGGTCAACATGGTAAAACCCCATCTCTTCAAAAATACAAAATTAGCCAGGGGTAGTGGTACACGCCTGTAGTCCCAGCTACTCAGGAGGCTGAGGCAAGGAGGATTGTTTGAACTCAGGAGGTGGAGATTGCAATGAGCTGAGATCATGCCACTGAACTCTAGCCTGGGCAACACAGTGAGATTGTCTCAAAAAAAAAAAAAAAAAAAAAAGGGATCCATCCAGAACAAGAACAGCAGCTACTTTGCTGGAAAAAAAAAAAAAAAAAAGGAACCAGCAAAGATATCTTTAAATAAGACCCCAGGCCAGGAAAGGTTGCATGAAAAACTGGCTCTTCAGTTTTGATAGAAGAATTGGTGAAGACATTTTGGATAACTTGACAATGGATATCAAGTTGATCACTGCCTTTCATTTAACTCCACTTCTGGGAATAC